TTCGGGGTCCTTACCGGCGGAATTACCATCTTAAAGCGTCTCGGCACAAAGGGTCTATCTTACGTAAGCCGTTCTTACTGCCCTCCGCTGACCAAATATGGGGACCCCCCGCTATTATTAAATTATATCTCCCGATCACCTTTCGCCTTCGACAATGCACTCGATTATGTACAAAATAAAGGATATATAAGTTAGTCTCGAGGGTAGAATCTCATCAATGGCTTTAAATGATTAACTGAAAGAAACAAAGAGATTTATTTGACATAAAACAGACTGACGTACACAACAATTATTTAAAACAATCTAAATTAGACACAAAAAAAAAACATAAACATAAAACTCCAATAAGCATATTTTCCCTTTTCATTATAGTACCTCGCGGTTCATGCCAAAAAGGACATGACTCAGCCGAACTGGAGAGAAATAGTGCTCAACTTTGATTATCCTGTACTCGATATCGTCAAGAAAACTACATGACAAACGCTCCGAATGGAAATGATTGACAACACATTCTTGTTATTATTGTTACGTTTGAAATGAAAGAAAAAATCACGCTACGGTGCAGTCACACATCGATGTCGTCACTTCTTTATTGCGTAATCTGTCATCGGTTCGAATATAGAATAATTCTAGAAACCACTACTAGCGATAGGTATTTGACATTAGCTCAATAATACTTAGTCGAAATTCTATCTCCAGTTACCAAATCTATCTGTAGATAGAATATTGAAACCGGCCGTTATTCGGTAGATATTGCAATGCGCGTCTAAGAACTATAAAAAAAATAAGTAAATAAAGGTTTTTAAACAACGTTTTCTAGTCCCAAACTAAGCAACACTTGTACTACGGCTACTAGATAGCTGATACTTATAAATATAATTATAAACACTACTGGAAAAACACTGTTCATCACATTAATTTTTTCCAGTTGTGGTGATCGGACCCACACCCTGGCGCAAGAGGCATGGTCACTACGCACTACGCCAATCGGGTCGATACTATGATATAGAAGTGTTTTTATAACAGCCCCGTAGCGAAGAATCCGTAAGAGACGCGCAAGTATACCTTCGTCCGAGAGAACCGTCGGGTGTTAAAACGATCTGGGATCGCCGCACCGCCTAAGTTGCGTGTCGCCAATTTATCGCGGATCCACTCAACGGCCGCGGCCCCACGTGGAAGGGCCGGCGGGGCCGTCCCGAGCGATTCATATGCAAAAATTAAGGCGACTCCGCCGCGGTGCTCCATTCGCATGGATTATGGTCTAACGCCGCTCACGGCACAATGGCCGCGGACACTGGTCAGTCCATAAAGATGGTCAGATTAAAGCGGGGTGTCCGTCACGTCTTTGTGGGGCATTGTGACGCTTTACTAATGGGGACCGGTACACCCGGACGGCCCGGGGGCCCGTTATTTATACTTAATTTATTATTTTGATACGCCGCGCGAAAGGGTGACGCACAATGGCGGATTCCGTGTTGCCGGCCGTGAGCGGGCCGCGCCGCCGATGCCCCCGGTTCGAAACCGAGCGTCTTGGGAAATTCCGCCGCTCCGTGTGTGTATACGACGGTATGTGTGTACGTCTGTCCGCTCACGGATCCTAATGAAATTTGGAATCAAAATAGTCCTTCTTCTTTTGGTGTCGATGACAATACCTCTTCACACGGTATCGGCCCAAAATTCAGCCACATGAATTGCATCAAAATAATGTAGGTATACATTGGTTGTGTTTGCCCGAAGTAATGATTACCCGACAATAAATGCCACTCCTTTTAACGAATTCATTCAAGTATAATCAGCCAATATAACGAATTGCATACTAAACAGGCGCTTGAACAATATAATTCACTTTTCCAAACGCAAAAGTACGACGGTTTTACTAACATTTTCATTATAATAAACAAGTTTAGCACGTCAACTAGTCATCAGTTTCGCCACGTGGGAGCAATGAAACTATTGCCCCAATGGCCTTGTTTCGAGCGCCCTTCAGACGTCCTGGCTTGCCAGAGGCCCGCAATTGCGGAGACAGACCGACTAAGGGTCCTCTAAGAATTGTTGCCGACGAATATTTGCGGTGAACTCGCAAATATTCATATGTTACTAATTGCGACCTTCTTGTGTATTAATCTCGAACCTTTATCCATTTTGATGGATGTAACGAGCACCAACTTAAAATTTTAAATAAAGTTCATTATTGACAATTTCTATTTGAACATTAGTAGTAAATTTAAAAGAAACATATCAAGACAGATTGACAGTTTCCTGCGACTTTATTGATCTGAGCAAAAGAATGTACGTCGATTTAAGTACACTACAATACTATTGTATTATTCTTTATTAACAGTGCGTTTGTTTTGAAATAAACGGAACACCGCAATTACTGAATCGATTGTGGAAATTAACATCACTGCAAACGGTGGACGCGTCAATTTCTAACCGCATGACTAACACGATGTTGTTACGAAAGATTTCAAAGGAGACTTGAATTCTATTGCGAATCAGTGTTAGCACTACGCATACGGAGTTTATGAGTCCAAGCTTGCATACTGTTATTTCAAAGGGTAAAAACTTCGACCGCGAACCGTCTTTCACCGCTTGGGATAAAAACATGAGACGCGTTTAAAACCAGCACCGCTGTACAGTGCACGAGAAAACAGTAATTATCCGCCGTCCATTGTGTCGAATTACACCATTGCATTCTCAATTTAAATGGTCAAAAGTGACCCCGCGAGGTCCGGCCGCTTCCCGGTTCCCATGGCCATTGTCCGCTGAGGGGCCCACAATGGCCACAAAGGGGTGCGGACAGCGCTCCTCGCACCGGTCAAATGGCCACCGACTCTACCAGTCATAGACTCAATGGACGAGGAAACGGGGCTTTCTTCCTACCTCATAGTTGCGCGGCCGTTCTTATTATTTAAACGTCGTCCGCTCGACCGTTACCCGTCAATGGTTTTTTATCCGACCGCCGACATGAGAACTTCTCGGAGCGTCCATTTCCCCCCGAAATTCCCTCCCGATGTCTACAGCCGGGTCGGCTTTAAGGAAAACCATTTTAATATAATCACCTACCGTCATACGTATGCAAATGACTAGGAGCACATAAATTACGTGAACAAACGCGCATCTCGGCGTCACCCCGCGGGCCCGAAAAATTAGCGGGTCTAAATAGACGCGTTCGCGATGCAGTTTCCATTTAAAAATCTCCCGCATCGGTCATCTTTCGACGAAACACACCGCGGCACCATTAGCAATGCAAAAATGCGTCGCATCTGCATAATCGTACGTCACGAACGCGTCGCGCGTTTGCATGACAATCGCCAAAAGTGACCAGCTACGTGCGTTGAGAGAAACAGGTTGGATGCAAGTGCATACGCGGGTAAGCGTCTAACGGCGGATCTCACAGCGACCCCCGGGTCGTTCCGCCCGGGATTATAGCTGAGCGCAGGGTTGCATGCAAATTATTATGCAAGTCACCTGCAGATGACCGTTAGACGAGACAAAGGATGCTGATTCCATTCAATCCTACGGCGCAACGGTCCTCAAGTGTCCCCGTGAATTATTTTAACGGCGTAACAATTTATTAATCCAAACAAATTATGCCTCAACCGATGAACAAATAAATTTACATTTCTTTAATTCTGTTTTAAATTTGGGACCCTTTTTTCATTTATATCTCACTCCCAATGTATTATACATTGTTAATCTAAATTACTTATTGCAGGATGCACAAACATCTATTTAGGTGAGCTGACATTAAGTTACATAGAAATTTAGCGGAATCTGATACAAGTGTCAAATGAACTGGAATTCACCAACATTCGTAGTGTCTTTACATAGTATAAAACAAAAATTGCTCCCGTTGTTTGCACACTTAGATCTTTTTCAAATAACGTTAACGGATTTTAACGCTGTTTCCCGCAATAGACAGCACTCTATCAATAGATAGCACTCTATCGTATCACTATACGGGAGGAAGATTTTTATGCACACTGCACCCGAACAAATCCGGGGTGGATCCTTGTTTATACTAAATTTCTTGATAATATTTTTCCTTTGCAGGCGATCTCGCCTTAATATATCCGCTTGCCGCACCTTTTCCTGCATTCCGCAGTCACTCAACATGTTACCTTTCCAACTAACTGGTGGAACCTCCCAACTCTTTGGCCGGGACCTTTTGAATTGTGACGCAAACGCTTTGTTTCGTCGGTGCACGCTCGGTATGGCATTGTTCGCTCGGAAGCAACGTCTCACGCGCCCCGATGCGGCGGCGATCACTTCTATTAATAAAACTACCGAGAACGGGATTTTTGATCGCAACAACTATCCGACGATATGTAGGAAAATCTATTCTGAGAAACAATAACAGAAAAACAACACTTGTATAACGCTTTGGTTTCAAACTAAACAATCGTTTTGTCACTATTAAAGATATTTTTTCAACAAAATAATTGACGGTGGCCGGGGTTATCTATGACATCTAGACGTATAACAACTTAGTATGTCCTGTGACCACAAACGCCGGAAAGGGTTTGGAAACGTCGGAAATTTCAAAATCAAAATAAAAACGCGATAAAATCCGTAAACTACTTTCATTTAATATGTATAACATTCGCGTAAAATTAAAAATTCAATAGCCAAAACAGCTTAAAACATGATTCTTATGTTGTGCTTACCCCACCAAGGTGAGATAAGGGCAGGAGGATCATGATATTTCTATGACTTTATAAGTTAAGATTTTTTTTCCCTTTTATTTTTAACAGTTCAACAACGCATGACATCAGAAACTTACATCAGCGCGAACGCTGGTGCGCTAACTTTTAGCTGCTAGTAATATATGCAGTATTAGAGTTCAGTGTCAGCTTCGTGGCGATCTATGGTGCAGGTCTATATTCAACAGTGGGCTCAAACAGGCTGAAATGACGATGATCAAACGCTTAGCTACTACAAGCCGAATGTAAATTTATCATGTTACGTTTGTATTGATTGTACGTTTCGTCTATTAGGCTCTCTGCCGCCATCACCGGCGGACAGCGGTGTCTCAGACGTGGAGTCGTCTTCATCGGGCGCCGGCTCCGCCGAGGAGTTGAAGGCCCGTCTGCAGCCCCCACCCCCGGCGCCCTTCCACGCGCCCTTCCTACCGTTCTACCAACACCACCAAATCGCCACCTCTCTGCAGCACCACGTCGCGGCGCACCCCAGGCCACCAGGTGAGATTCCTTTCACAGTTAACGAGCCGCCCTCAAACTTTTCTCTTTTAGGTCAAAACGCGTGATTAAGTAGCGTTGGGATAGATTGGAACAATACTGTGACGTTTATTAGTAAACTATTTTACAAACGAAACTGAGATTGAATTGAAACCTTATTTATTTGTCTCTACATAGCGTTGTAGCGAAAAGCGCCCATTAGAACGTGCTCAAACGCTTGATTAGTGTTGGGCCAATACGGGATTTTACGATCGTTGTTTCCATCCTTTTACAAGCCATTCCATCGTGGCCACTACTACTACTAGTGATCATATTAGTCATCGAATAAAATTTCATGAATGTCAGGACAAAATCGACAAATCGATACGCACTTTGAAACGATTTAAAATATCGACTGATCCGATACTGGCCGGCGGTAGGAGTGTAAAAAAAACAGTCGTAAGAATATTTCTAAATAGAATAACAATAGCCCCGTGTTGCGGAGGCGCGCGGTGCGATAGGTAGTCTGTAGCTGTAGGTGACCGCTCCGGTGAACGGCCGCACCCGGAAGGTCACCTTACGGACTCCTCGCGCGCGGGGAATTCGGGAAAAACGAGACGTCTCCGTTGGCCGTGCGGCATCAATATTTATCGCGGCACCCGATCGGGAGGCAATCTTTATTATCTGTATCTGTCTCGTCGCTTACGTCGATCGGTTCTCGTGAGTTTATAGAGAAGTAATCGAAACCTGACTGACAACTGTGTTAGTCAATTTCATTAACGAAATAACTTAGCGACTGTTCGTTAATTAATTACCACGTATTTAATTCGGCCGTTTATTAAAATACTCCATATTCATGAATGTTGGAACACTTCATTACTATTCTAAGTTATGACAATTACAAACAGTTCACTCGATAAATACGCTTGATTTTTTTACATACCACAAAATGTTCTTTTTTCGCCCCCAGCTTAGCTTGGAATATAAATATTTCTTAAAAATAAACTACCATTATTACATTTATTATTGTAACTATAAAGGGTTGTTTGTATATTGCGATGCGTTAATCTGACATAATGACTTCAAGGCACTTGTAGTTTTGTTCTGTGAGCGTATAACAAGTACTTAAGCAGTTACCATGCGATACTAGTCACTCATTGGCCAGTTTTTGATTTAAAAAAAACTCGGATCATCGATATTAAGATGGTACGCGCGCCCGTGCCTACTTCCGGGGGCGTGTTGGCTGCACTGGCCGCGAGCCAGTTGGCCGTCTCCCCCAATCCCGAATCGTCCCATTAAATGCACAAATTATTCACGCAAACGGCGATAATTCGTCGCGTACCCAACGCGATCCGTACGCGAAAGCAATCTCCTCTGCCTCCTTACGCGGCGCTTTATAAACAACACGATAATTTCCGAGACCGAATTAGCCCACGCCGCTACAGTACACATCGAAAAAAGGAACACCCGAATACATTTCGTCGCTAATCTTTTTATTGCCGTTAATGCTGAAATTAATTCGCCGCTTGGCAATTTCGCGTACGTTAAACTCTCAATGCGGATGACGTTTCGACATTGCTCTTGGATATGTTACACGTTAAAATATCAGATTATTATTAGTACGGAAAAACGAGACGTATCCGAAAGAGCGTCACTTGAATTAACGATTGACATTATAAATATTGGCTTGAGCAATATCAGTTAGTGTTTTATTGAGTGTACTAAACCGCAAGAATGAGGGGGCTATAAAAGTTTTGAATCGCAAAAATCTAGACGGTGCGTACCGATGCACCGGGCTACGCGCCGCTCAGCTATTTGACATTGCACAAGGTCAGTGCTCCGAATATAAAGATGCAAAAAGCGTATGCGCGCCGCGTCCCCGCCGACGGCGGACGCATGCGAAGTGACCACTTTCGATTGTGTCGCATTTTAAAAACGCCTTCTAGGCACGCCGCGGCGCGGGATTCCGCCGACTCCTTTGTCTCTATTGGGACTAATCGAATGATATGCAAGCGGCGAGCGGCACCCGCCATCTTGATGACGTAATCGGGGAAACATTCGAAAAAGGAACTCGCCTCTAAGCGTTCAAGACTAACGCAGAGTGGGTAACGCTCCTAAATACTATTACTATGAGCTATTATAACCTGATATAAGTACATGTAAACTATCTATTATTTGGATCAAAAGACATGGCCTCTCGTATCTTTATAAGTTCTAACTACTAAGTATCGTAACGTTATAAGTTATAACAAATTAACAGAAACTGATACATATTCTTTATTCTATAAATGGCCATGGTCTAACCAATGCAATGGAGCATGTACAAGCGAGCTTTCATGTTAAATATCGTTTCGGAAAGTAAAGCCCTCACTAGAATCCACGTAGGTCCAGATATTGGCCCGGTCGAAACTCGTAATGGAGGCAAAGCGACTCGTAAAAGATCCTTCATCAGAGCGGAGCGTTGTGGCGCAACATAACAATGTATCAGATCCTTAGCATTATTTTTTCCACCACCTGCGCCGCCCATAACTCCTCGCAGGTTGACCATAAATACCCTTTTATTGCGCGATAACTGTAGTTTCCGTGAGAGACTTGCGTAACGCGTGTAAGAACTATTAAAACGCGACTCATATTTATTAGGACATATTTCAGCGCGCCTGATAAGGAAACGGAAATGTTGGAGAGAAATTTCATCGATCGTGACACATAATTGAAATTTATATTTGTCTTTGCTGACACATTACATATCACTCATTGACATAACCGCCGTTGTCTGTGGTTATAAAATCTAATATATAAAATTCTCGTGTCACGGTGTTTGTAATTGATCTCCTTCGAAACGGCTCGACCGATTTTCGTGAAATTTTGTGTGCATATCTGCCAGGGTGGAGAATCGGACAAAACCGATTATTCATCCCCCTAAATGTTAAGGGTGGTTCACCCCAAACATTTTTTTCTACCCTACAAATAATTTATATGGCAAAACAACGTTTGTCGGGTCAGCTAGTATATTATAAAATGTATTTAATTATGTAAAAAAAGCTCTGACATTAAGTAGGTAAAAAATTATATCGCACTATTGTCAGAAACTCAACAAATAAACCACAATGCAATTAACTGGGGAATAGAGCCAACAATAAAGCACGAGGACTTAATATTAAAGTCAAAAATAACAGTATGTGTAAGCGACAATGAGAATGAAATAATTATGAGAATAGTAAATACAATTATGACCTCAGAGGCCCTGTGAAGTCTCATGATCTTTGTAAACAATAAACCGCGATATATATTTTTTCAACCGCAGATGATTCTTTTCTATATTTCATACTCGGTATTCTACGCGGAAAATGAGGCACGCGTAATAATTATGTAACACATTCCATAATTCAGTTCGACTCCATGCAGTTTTTATGCGTGTGAATAATTAATTTGTCCTTTTTTGTATATTGTAAAACGGCGTCAATATGTAAAATCACTACTCCGTGATTTCTTTACGGTACATTAAACTGATACATCATACAACTGGTGTTTTGTTGCGGTATTTGCTGACAAAGCTTTTTAATCACCGCAATTTAACCGAGGAAATTTCTAACCTAACAAAGCCACTTGGACGCGTCGCGACAGTGTTACCAACTGTTAAAAAAATACTCCTAAAGCAAGTCAAAAACCCACTTAAATTGTCTACATTCAAAAAACTTCCTGAATGTTTCTCATTTAGCTAGTTAGTTTTGGTTTGAATTTACCTGCTACACATCATCGTAGCATAGCAAACATCTTCCATTGGGAATTTTTCCTTGCAAAATTTAGGAAGAAAATGCATAAGCCGGGGCATCCGTGCGTCGCGGATACCGTCCGGGGGGCAAGCGTAAGTCGCCGCGGGCGAGAAACGCGCGCCTCCCGCGGCCCTGAGGTTTCCGCAAAGTTGCCACAGAGCGCGTAACGCTATTGCGCAATAGACGCGCACGGAGGCTGTTCCGTGGCGGGCCCCGCCGCAACACACACACGAAATTTTCGGTGTTGCAAAGCGCGTTGCGCAATCGGCGCGCGCGCCATTGTCAGCCGCTGGCGAAACGCGCGACCTTCCCACTCGAATTGGGCAGTCGAGACCCGATTCCGAGCGCCGCGGCCGATGTTGCCATGTACGCGCGTTTCTGCGCCCCGAACTGGCCTGCGAAAGCGAGAACGCACCGTTTGCGATGTACGCTATCGGCGCAGAGCGTTGTAAACATATTTAACGCGCACAGTGTCCATGTCGGTTCAATCGTATTTTACGTTAAGCACGTTACACAATACACCGTTACACACAACGCCGTCATACACGGCAAGGACAATAATATGCTCTCGTAATTTAATAACAGCACAGCACTAAAGTGACGTAGGTGATAATGTCATGCGAGGAACTGTTTTTCTTTTGAAACGAAAAAAACTAAAAAGTGCAAAACAAAAACTACTTAGTAGAATTGGGACAATATACTAAATATGTATTTATAGTTTATATATTTAGTTTCTTAGTCAGTATAAATACTGTAGTGTCAGTATGTTGTTTAGAGGGTCGTTTAAATGCGTTGCGCGAGATCTAACGCCATTAACTATCCATTGTTTATCAAATCGAAATTGTTGCAACTATCACTGCGCTACAATGGTACAAAAATGCGCCACTGCTTATCCTGATAAAGAGCTTCCGTGACATGACATAATAAGCTGCTAATTTTAGAGCGCTTAACTTTAACCGATAAATAAATACAGCGCAATATAGCTTCATACGTTTACTATAACGCACGCAGTAGCGAACACTATTTGCCTCTCATTCCACTTTTAAATCGCAACCTGTTTATGCGTTTTCAAGAACACAACGTACGTCGTATGTATAACCTAAAAGCGACGCATTCAATCGCTTCGATAGTAACACGTTGTTTATACGACGTGTGCCTTCTGCATTTCGGGCGTATAATAGTGCTTCATTGATCGCAATCACTGCGCGAAAGACGAAATGGAAACGAATAAACGGCGAAGGCGCGTTGTTCCGCGCGTCCATTCCGTGCCGCTCCGCCGCTGCAACGCCTCGTGCGCTCGTGTGCGTGTGTGCGTGTGCGTGTGCGTGTGCGCGTGTGCGGGAGGTGAGCGTCCCGTTTCAAGGGCAGTGCAACTAGCGCTCGTATTAATAGGCGGCCGACTATTTCTGCCGCGCTCCGGGGACCGGAACGCCCGCCTCCTATTGACATTCGCGAACGTCCGAAAGGAACGGATCTTGGCTTGCATCACCCGCGGCCCTTCCCGCTTTCCGCCGACCGGCCGCGTGCAGAGCGACATTAAATACCCATTTATTACAAATATCCATTCCGCTCTTTTGTAGTCACAATTGATTATAGGCACTATTGGCCAATTTGATTATCGCGTTACTCATACACACCTCACTCGGTTACTTTACGAACCTGCGGAAGAAGTTTAATGTTCAATGCGTAATATGTTCATAAAACAAGCCCAATTAGGCATGAATACCCAATGAGTCAGCTCGGATAGTGAGATTCACCCTTACAAAATGGTAAAAATTTTCCATTTACGTAAGCATCCCTAGATATTTTTAACTGGTAACACCGTAGTTAATCGGATCAACCTAGATTAGTCGATCTTGCGCACACTGAATTCGGTGAAAAACAATTTCGGTGTGCGTTAACGGCAATAACTCGGAAACGGGTTTGGAGGTCAGTGGAAAGATTTTTCGGGCCTGAGGTCGCGCTGTGTTCTCTTCGCCGTTTACCTGCCTTCGAGACCACACTCCCCAGTCGCATATCTCCGCTTTAAAACGACATCCATCCATTTGGCTGTACTTTCCGCGTTTCGTCGTCGCGTACCGTACGATCCCGGCGATTTTCGGTCCGATATCATCTGTGGGCCGTACAAGGAAGACGGTGCGCGCCATCTGTCGCGCCGCTTGCGCAACCCGCGACCCACTTGCCGCCGCCGCCGCGCCGCTGCCAAACGGGCGGCTCCTCTACAATTACATATCGGCGTGTCGCAACCGGCCGCCGCATCCGAGTTGAACGGCCCGCGACCTTGCGCCGTTGCGCAGCGCGCGCCGAAAGCGAAAGGACCGCGCGCTCCCGGAATCCGACGTGACGGTTTTCCAATTTGACATAAGTCGACAGCGAAAATGGCGGGACGATAACGGGCGCGTTCGCGAATAGCGTACAGGCATAGTGATATTTTTCCCGCCATTTTCGCTGTCGACTTAGGTATGTCAAATTGGATTTTTTTATGTGAGAAGGTGGCAAACGGGCTGGCGGTTCACCTGATGTTAAGTGATAGCCGCCACCCATCGACATGCAACACCGTAGGGTTGCAGATGCCAATACGTCCAACAACATCCAGAAAACAACATCACATTACACCTACCTATATCTATGATAGGAAATAGAGTTCAGTGAGGTAAAACAGTATATTGTGTATTGAAGTAAAACAACAAATGACAAGACTAATACCACTATCATCACTGAGAAACTACAACGCCCCAATCCATTCATAAATTCAAAACCCATTGTGTACGTGACCTCCGCCGCGTAAAATAGGCTGTTATCAGAAAACCACATGCACAAGTAGCGTCCCCGTGATTCATCAGCATGGGGACGCAGTCGTCAAGTTCGTCACCAACAAATACGTAGCGGCTTCCCGTCTGAAATATTCAATAGCGCCTACGTCGTTTGTCTTAAGAATATGCAAAACATAATGTTGGATGTTTCATGCATATTTGTAGAAAAATCCTAATTACAGTACAATAGTTTACATGAAATTCATTCACGGAATTTATTCTTAAACGGATTAGTAAAATGATTGTTAGTGATGAGTTATTTTACTATTCCGTGGGTGCGCCATATAATATGTAATTTTAAATTATTAATCAAAATAGATCATTACCTACTGCTTACGGCTTGCTTAAAAGCTGAAACTTAATTGATAAAACATTTATTCTCATAGTGGTTAAAATTAAACATGTATAAATATCGCCGCTGCGCTCACGCAGTTTCGCAACGTCTTAGCGTTGTTCGCGGCAATGGCGCAACCGCCGCCATCTTCCCATACCCGCTTCCGAAATACATCGCAAACAGTTGACTGACTATCAAATAAACGTTTGTTATCAATGAAAACTGTTTTTAAACGGTCAATTTTAAAAATATTTTTCTAGTAATTGTACTCGATGTAATTGAGAAAAAAAATAAGCAAATTAAATATTCCTTTAACGGCACAACGACGGAAGGGTAAACATTTCACAAGTCTACGTCGACAGTTGCGTGTCGGAAGCGCGGCTACCCAATTATAGGTTCGCTTAGCGATTGTTTAGACGCGTCTTGGTGACCGGCCACTAATCCGTGCCGAGGCATTCGGGCGGGAAAAAGGCGGAAGCGTACACCGGCACGGCCCAATTTCAGCGGCTACTCCGCGCCCCACTTCCCCATAAAAGCTGGGCCCGCGCGATGTTAGCCACCGTTCAGACCGAACGGTAAACGTCGGCGCTCGGTGTGAACCGTACTTTGCGCGCCGGACCGTGGGGCGGCGGGGTCCAGGCGGCCTATATACGCGCTCCACTGGTTTCCCGCGCGTTATAAAATTAAACCGCCCGCCGCCGGCGGAGCGGTGGCGCCCTTCACGGGCCACGGGCTCCCCTGCACTCGAAATAGCCACACTTCCCTGACACGAGCTGCGAATCTTAACGGGAGATGAGCACATCACACCCGCTGCACATGTGATTGTCGCACTCAAATGTCGCTCACGTTCTTCAGTCGTAGTAGAACTTTAGAACTGGAGCACAACTGGTCTCTTAAGTCCGGCACCGTCCAAAGGCGTTGCATCAGGTCGAATTATTCTAGCGTTCAAGGTAGGGACCGCGTACGCGTAACAGGGAAATGGCGCTGAAACCCGCTCTCCTTGTGTTTATGCGTCGAAACCTAAGCGGGTCAGTGTTAGGCCGCATAGCGCTGCATAAACAGCCGGGCCTCTCCCCCCCACCTCCCGTTGTACTCGCCCGCCACTCCCGCGAGTAGGGATGCGACGACAACCCGCGCAACGTAAATCACGCTACTAGCATTAAAATCTAGCACAGCACTATTGACAGATAGATATCGCTTTGCATTTTATTACGGCAACATTGTGTTCGTATTGCGAGCTTTACGTCATGATCTGTTTAATGTTTAACCGTTGTGTTGTCCCACTTGATTTTGAATGAAGTGTTTAACGCACTAGCTGGCAATTTCTTCGGCGCCGAGATCCGATTAGACGTCATAGTAAGCCAATAGTTTCGTGATTCCGTGTAGGCCACTCGGCCATCTCGATTTCCTCCCATCCAGATATTTATATTATCCCGTGCGCGCGTTAACGGGGTCAACCCTCAGGCGCTTCCGACGAGGCGCGAACAGTTCGGGAGCGTTTCGCAATCTGTTTACGCGCGCGCCGTGCCAAAGAGTCGGAATTCCGACGAACATTGCAAAACGCCAAGTCGGCGTCCACACACTTCAGCGTAAGGACATCCAAGCGCGGGCGCGCGAATGCAAAGACAAATCAAATTAAAACCTCCTGTTCTAAAAAAATGATCAAACATTTACTTCGTTCATAACGCGCCGTTTCGTTGGTATCTTCGAGCCTGTTCCTCTGCATCTGGAAACCAATATTTACTTAGAACAACTTTACTAACATCCATGATAGGAGGAATTGATCACGTCTATTCGTTTGTGAATGAAATAAGAACACAAATATAATAAGAATTAACAAATGTTTCACTTTACTTTTTTTTTCTTTTTGAAAAACATTGACCTTACTTTAGGGTAACATTATCCTGTGCTGTAAGGACGTTTACAAACATAAATTACACGCGGACAAACACCCAGATGCGAAACAACTATCTGTGGGTCACTGAAATAGTTATCCCTATATATGTGGGGATCGAACCCACGACCCTCGACGCCGAAGCCAATACCTTGGCAACTGCGCCACGGAGTCATCGTGGTTATCTCTAGTACGAAATATGAACAGCTATACCATTTTCTAATATCGATATTCCAAAGTAAATTTTTATTTAAAACAGTTTCTTTCCTGTCCATTTTGTACTTTGTATAACACTTATAATAACCGCGCTAAGATATGTTAACGTCTCGACCGTCTACACAACAGATAAATAATAATTAATACTCGTACAAATACGAGCTTTGGAGCAATTTATATTTGTTCTAAGAGTGGCCGTGTCACCACACACTCGAGTGGCCGTGGGAAAATGGGACAGTTAAATATAATCTGGATATTTGCGATAGCTGACACCTTAATATCACATTAATATTAGTGTTACGCACCTTAATCGGCCATTACCGGATAATGCTGCCGGGGATGGAGCCCGACGCAAGCTATTAGGGACCATTAGAAGGTCTGCCGTGAAAATGATAGTGGGTGATGATATTAATAAGGGTCTTAGGATATTACACATCGATCGCCCTCCTAATGTGAAAATGGAAATGGAGCGGCAAAATCTCTTTTAGCAACCACTTGACTATAGTTTAAGTGTGTTTAGAAAGTGATATTATTCTTTTAGATTTATCACTCGCTTCTTCAGCTTATTACTTGTAAAAATAACTGACTACTAAAATGACAATGGGGGCTGTTACGTCGTCGTTATATTAGTGTCTACTACAGTTTGTTACGTGGTCGTAGTGTTGTGCTGAAACACAAATGAGTCTTCGGCGAATTTGGCGCCAAAGTCGAACCAATGTTGGCAGCATCGATCAATAATTAGCCGAAAAACCGCGTTCCGGCCTGATTGCGCGACCAGGGTCGCGTTTGGCAATGCCGGTGGAAATCGGAGACCTTGACCCCGCCGCCCGACCCTCGTGGCCGGGTTCCACGTCTCGCTTCCACCAAGTCGGCCGTGCTGTACATAACGAAGTGCGAATGGGCGGGCAAGAAATTTATGTGGAAACGCCAACTAGATCGTTAGTCGAACGGTAGGGTAAGCGGTGATTAGACAATTTTTTTTATCTTTAATCTTTCGGTTCTGTGTATTTCCTAAAACATTAATATAGAACAAAATTAGTAAATGATCCTGTAATTATTTGGCTACGGCAATACCTAGATTGAGGTGGATTGGGGCCGCGGTGGAAGTTCGTAAACAGGAAACGCTAGAGATGAGCGGAAGATGAAAATTCCCGCGAAGCACGCGATGCCGACCGCGCACATGTTGAGTGTTGCCCGAAAACGGAGTCAATCCAATGTTGCCCGATGCAGTTGTTTTCCCTAAATTTTATTAGCTGAAATAAAAATGTTCAATTTGTAATGAAAAATGCTTTCTCGTATATGTGATCGATTTCAAACATCGCGAGCGCTGAAACTCGTATGTTTAACGCGTGCACTTTACACGGTTTAAGTTTGTTTATTAATTTCATACTTTGCCTCCTACTTTTCACAACTTCGGAAGCGTGAAATTGATGAAAATATAGTCGTATAAATACGTCCTTTTGCACTAAAGACATTTGTAATCCCCACTAACGCGAAATTTTCTATTAGAACTTATAATTCTACGCGGACTGTAAGACAATAGAAATTCGGTTCACACAAAATTTCATTTGGATTGTAAACTGTAACATTCACTGAGAATCATAAAACACAAAGATATCATATAGCGTTGTCGTAGGTCATTTTAACGAGTCCGTAACGCCCTCTGTGACAATTGAATATTACTTATTGGAACGTGACCTGCCTGTGTAAACAGCATTTAGTTAGCGTTTACGTTACATAAATCGTACACGCGTATCAAAAAAAAATGAATTTCCATTTATATACAAAATGTTACAGTAACATTAAATGCCTATATCCTCTCAATCAGCGTCATGTCAGCAAGCTATTTTTATTTGTAAAATTCGAAACAGCAAAGGAACGTGTCTCACTGCAACAACGTTTGGTATTTCTAATAATAATGTTAAACTTGTATTAAATCTATTAATTTCCGGTATTGTTAAACATACCGGAAATTAATGGATTTAGTGATGATAAAAATTTAAGTTATATAAACTTAGTAAACTCTAAGATGATTTACAATTGAAATGGAAATGTCTCCGTGATCTGAGCTCATAGAGACAGAATAAAAACGAAAATGCGCAAAGCTCACAAATATCCCTTTGATAACCACCACAAAGAGCAACATCGAAGTGATTGATCCAAGATGGCGTCCTTCTGCAAGGAAGTGCAGGAATTTGCGAGAAGCGTTAGGTATAGGGTTACCAGTCATTTCATTTAAATAATAAGTAAGTAAGTACCTGTAATACGCTAAAATATGCCCAGTATTACTAAACATTCTTAAGTAAGTAATGTAATTAATTTACATTCATAATCATGCCGGAGGTGGCTGTTATTAAATATAATCCGTAAGCCCAATAATATAATACTCAAAAACCGCTAAAAACGTTAAACCAATACATAAAAAACTCAAAAAGCGACGCGCCCCGTTAAGTTAAAAAACATAGCGGCATTATATTTCCGCTAAAACATCGATGGTAGCCCTAGCTAGCCAGAATGGCGAAAGAGGCGGGAAGCGGCGCGGGAGGGGGGCGCGGGTGACCTTCGCGCGTTGATGCAATGTCGCCGTGTCATTGACCACGCTCGCTGCGAGCAAACAGTTGCAGCTAAACCCCCCCCCCCCCCCCCCCCCCTCCCACCCACTGCCTCCCGGTTCCCCGTCGGCAGTCTATCGCCCACCCCGCCGCCGAGCCCTGCACAAGTCGCCTTCGCAGTTCGCCTGTATCGCTATGGCATAGCGGCTATGCTGTGATGTGGTGTTGTTTCCCTTTGTAGCCGAAGCCGTCGCCTCGGTCGTTTCTGCTATCGATTATTTTTGCCGTGACGTCATATCCTGAGGCTGCGTTTAATCGAGCGGTATTCTTTTTCTTCAAAGTTTCTCACTTTAAAGCTCTCTAAGAACGGTAATTGTTTAAGGATGTCTATTCCAATATTATGCGTAATTATTATACTAGATATAAATTAGCATAAATATTATATCATAAGGAAAGATGGGAATACTATCGATTAAATTAAAATTTAATGGTCAAAAGGTTATAACTTCCTCTCTCCTGCATATTTAAAAGAATTAACTGCAGACCGCAGTCTTTCTGGTAACATTATCTGAACATATTAAATGAATGTATAAAAATATTTTTAATTGAATGCACTCTGTTGCAAGTCCTTCAAAGCAGGTACGCAACGTCGTTTTTGACCTTGGTCAGCGGCGTTCATAAAATATCGTAGTTATACATTCAAAAGAGGCGACATTTTCTTAGTTACATGTGTTTACGTAAGCCGGGGTGTACGAACTCTTTGTCGTATCACCTTCGCCGCGTCCCAATACAGGTTGAGGTCGAATCGGCAATAAAAGTAGTTTTCGATAATACCAATACGACAAACAAGACTTTCGCGTCGTCCCGCGGACGCGCGCGAATATTCACAGAGCGTCTATTTTTACTTTTTAAAAAGCATTTACTTTTTTTTACGACCTCTGACATATATAGGAACACGTGTTGAATAATTATGTAATTTCCTCTGAATACTTTTCGGTACATTTTTGGAAAATTCTTAGTTGGTAAAAGAAAGTCTCGATTAAATAAATAATTTACAAACTAAATCCAAAAACGTACGTATCTTAGGGATCTTCATATAATTATTCAAAAGTTATTTCCATGTTGTTATTATTCACATGTCGCATTGATATAGGTATTTGTCGTAAAACTTGAAATTATTTCCTTAAGAATTCAAACACGAATTTCAATAAAAAGGAAATGTTCAAAGAGATATGTAAATTTCCATTGTACTTTTAAATTTTAACATATCAAATGCGCCATACATTCCACTCCTTGTGGCACAGCGTAACGTGCGCTTTAGGCATTTTCGAACCAACGATGAAAACACATTGCGGGCGGGATTTTGACACACGAGTCGAGTGTGACCCAACACTTAACGAGTCGTACGCGCCGAAAGTGAACGTAGCGGCATTATGCGAGCTAAATATTACTGGACATGCAACCTAGCTTACATATGGGTGCGCCGCGCTAGGTACATTTTCAAGTAGATCGATTGCCACAAACGTTTCCCTCGCCAAAGTTGTTTGCGAGATTAGTGCGCGCTATCGTCCCTCGTTGGTGCGGGCACGTTGAACCTGACCTCACTCAATATCAATGCCCAGTATTACCCGGCCTAAATAAATAGCCACCAGAACATAAGCGACCTCGCACAACTCGCAGATAAATGCATCCGGCCCGTTGTTTGCATATCGCGTGCATAAAAAATTGTTTTAGGCTTTTGATAGCCTTATCTGGGGTTATCGCGACGGTCTTCTGCAGACACCTATGCTGGCGTCTGTATGAAAGTTATCGGGGTTATTCGTGCATTGGTACCGAGACCAGTATCTCTATTTTGATAGGAAAGTTAAAAACATTATGCAATTGGCTCAAAAGGAACGTATGACATTAGAGATTTCTAGAAAGTCTGCAAACAACATTCTCATTAATAGTACAAAATCAAACATGCGTGACACATTCAAACAATGTAGTATTTATTTCTGAATTTCGTAAAGAATTAACGATAAATCTTATCAAATCTCTATTAAATGCAGTGAATTGTTTTGCATTTTTGAAATTGTTAAACTTTATTTAGTGCTTCCCTTATAATATTCTTATTAGTAGACATATTCAATTAGGCATACTTCAAATTTAAACACATTTCAGCTAATCTGTTCTTTTAAGAACAACAGACAAGTATACTAAATAGGATTGTATGGTGATCAGAAACTAGAATTTTGAAACAAAATAGCTAAGAAAATAATATTAAATTATCCGAAAAATATCCTTAATGTAAACAGCTTATGGAATGCGACTTGCGGAAATTCTAATACGAATCGTATACGACTTGTTTGTTCATAAAGTTTGCAAATCGAAAAAAACTTATGAACAAGGTTCTAGAGAAGTGTTTGTACCGTGCAGCACACAACCGTGTTTCGCCATAATTATCCCGGTTGTGTCTCGGGCTTCGGCCACTAAGTACATAACTGTCCTATGCGCCTGCGAATGTGCGAGCAAATAGAATAATATTCACAGATCGCGAACGCAGACGAAGGCTGTTTCGAAACCCACACGGGCTGTGTATCTAGCCTTTAATGTGACTGATAATGCGTGCGAGCTGAACACACGTTCCAAGACATTCGCAAAGCAATTTGGCCTCAGCCGTATTCGTGTTTCAAACTTTGTGCGCCCGTATTCGCCCGCACAATCCGTTGCCTAATTTATTCACAGGAAATGTATGTTAAAACTCGAACCAAGGCGATGGAATGCATTGGGAAATATAAAATATTAGTTAATAGTAGGTCGGTAACCTACTATTAACTAACTATTAATCACGATTTCAATTTTGATACATGCATATATCGAATTAATATGTGTAGAATGTTAGCTATTTATTTATGGCGTTAACGCCAGAAATTAGTGAGGAAATAGGTTTTAATCTGATGGCACATATAGAACAACAACATTTAGTGTAGGCAGAGGTTATACACAAATAATTATTTTTTTTATTTAATAGATGTAACATAATATACATAATGTCAATATCAACATTATTCCGCAGCTTTTCATATTACTATAAAAAAATTACCCCTAAAACAACAAAATTTATAAATAGAATTATGCAAAAGAAATAATACTAAACAATATGAAAAGTCAACTTTGACATTTTTATAATTATGTTTACATTCGTCACTGCAGATACAAAACAACACGCAACCTCTGTAAGCGACGGATAAAAAATTACCAGCTCAAACGTCGTGCAGTTTCATAATTGCCATAACAAAATTTTAAAGTGCAAGCGTTACGATCGAACTGACCGAAGGCGATGGCATCAGAAACATTACAAGAACAATTACGGAGGTTACGCAAGGAAAGTAGTCCACAAGAACCGGTCGCCTCGCAAAATTCTCCTGACACCGGCCCGGGCTGCTGTCAACCGTTGACATTCGAATGCAAATTTTTATTTACGAACGCAGTCTTAATCGCTGTAACTTTTTTTTTAAATGGCGGTGTAACTATTTGTCTGTATCGAGAAATCCCAAAGACGTTATACTATAATAATAATGACAGTAGCTTTTTTCCCGGCCCACTATCGACGAGCACGACGAAGACTTTATCTTTGCTCTGCGCTCCTTTTTCAATTTATGTAGTTTTATTCACTGACGCTGGAGTGGCTATGACTATCATTCACTAAGCACGTTATTAGCTCAAAGTTATTTGTTATCTACGGCGATCAAACTGAGCCCGAAGTATTATGTATCGCTGAAGTTGAATCACTGGGTTGCCACATGCCCTCCGACATGAGCCGTTGTAGGAAGAGCGAGTGAAATCCTTAAGGCTTTTATCGCGGCCGGCGTCACCCCGTTACAAGTGTCGCCCTCTACTGTTATCTCGCTCCGTTACGTAAGGTGCAACTGCGCTGACCTTACTTAACTCAGCGACGGTTCGCTATGCTCGGCCAATGCGCGCCGTTCCGATTACACTTTTTGTTTTACTCTTAACACTTGGAATAAAATAAACTAAAGCACATTTATGTCCATTGGCTTCTGATACAGATGTAACGTTCTTGTTTATTTTAGTTAACACGTAGATAAAGAAGCACAACAATTTGTAACTTATTGCTTAGATATTTTGAACGTAATTTAAATAAACGAAATTTGCTCAGAGCAAATCAGGAAGAGTACTTATATTCAATTTTGTCTGTAGTATATGTTCATATCACGGTTCAAATATCTTTGGAAGGATGAGTAAACTAGGTGGATTTCCTCATCGCACAAGCGAAAGTCAAGATAACGAACCATTACAATGCCGTGTACCTAATAACAGTATTTTGCAATACCTAACAGTCTATCTGACTGATTAAGTTATCGTTTGTAATTTATTGATAGAAGCCGATATATTCTCGATCAGAGATATATCTCATGTTTTTCTCCAAACTTTAAACTTATATAATAACATTTCTTTTTCCCACAATTACTATAGAGTATTTGATATAGCTCCCATCTTAATTAACGTTTCAAACATGCAGATAATAATCTTAAACGTATCTCTTTTACACGCATTATGTAGAAAGAGAAAGACGGTCCAGATCGAGGCCGCATATGAAGTTGATAAGCAACCTTTATTCGCACCTCTTCCTCCATTTCAGAAATCTCGTATACGCGCCAACGTACGAATTAGGCAATACAAAGTCACCTTGGTAATAACACGCATTGAGAAACCAGTTATGTCGGGCAAGTCGGGCTGCTGGCCCGGCGGTCGGATAAATAGCCGCCACGAACAACCGAGGATTTAGATAAGCGATGAGGAAACACCTATCCACTACACGGAAAGAAACACCACAGCACCACCGTCACGCTCGGCGAACGATTGTTTTCGAACAAAAACGCAGTTCTCGAAAACGATAGTTTAAACGTTTATTAACTCCAAATGTTTCCCGTGTATGTCCGTTGTATGTTTACATACCGAGGAAATCAAATCTCCCCGAATCCAGCGCAACATTCGTTTGCGACGGTTGCGAAATTGATAAGAGACTATCTAAATGTAAACGAACAGCGCCGAAGCGATACGAACGTGTGATTTTACAGGCTTAATTGTTTCGTTATTTTGTTAGGTTATATTTCATATTTCAACGTCGGTGGAAAGATTTGTCGGTTTCATATCCACGCGGTTTCACTTTAGTTTTCAGTTAGCCGACAATTGAGAGGACGAATACTAGGAACCCAGCGAATACGCGCTTAAAGCGAAATCGTGCAGTTGTGTCGGAAGCAGGGAGGCGGGGGCGGGGGATGCGCGGGAGCGGGCGCTCGTGTGCGTGCGCGGGCGCGTGCGTGTGTGTGTCTCCGTGAAGGTCAACCGGCGGCGTCATTTCCTGGTCATTGCCTGCGCCGCATCCGACGCCAGAACGCGCGCGAACCCGCCGATAGGGTCGCCATTTTCTTTTTTTTTTTTTTGCTCTTTTTCTCCTTCCTCTCGAACGTTAGGCGGAACGCCGATCGAAACGAGATATTGTTGCCCGGTCGGCGTTTACGTTTTTAGAATCGTGTTGAGGATGCTAATTGTGCGTTTTATGCATTTTCAACGCGAAATGACAGCGAGATTTGAGCACTTTTTCGTGAGATTGTCATGATGTCGTGAGACCTGTTGGGCATAATTAATCAGTCATCGCTCGACGATTGGCAGCCCTAGGGCTGGTGCGGTCTTAGAGCCACGCACGCCGCCTTCCTGTGTCGGAAGATGTCGCCATTGTGAGCCGCAGCGGGAGGATATAACTTTGAATAAAAATTGCATTGTTTTCGTATCGCGCCCGAACTAGGATCCTGATGGATTCAACTGCAAGTCACGGACGTGTCCGCGAATCACTCCCCAATGAACATCCAGAACTCGCTTAAGCCCGTTGAAAACGAATCGCTACAATGCAATGAATGCAAACGCTAAGTTGCATCAGTTGAAATTTTAATAAAGCGCTAGAAAGAGAAAATGTACGCCTTTAATTAGAATTATGTTAAAATTATAACCAGGGATTTTATGTAATTATTTGTTTACCCTTTGTGCGTCATATGTGTTTTGAAAAAGGATCTAACATGGCTTCTATGGAACTATATAGAAAAGAAATATTCAATTTAGTAGTCATTCAGTGAGCCACTGGATGCCGTGGACAAAGGTTTCGACTATTTTCATCGTGTCAAATATTACGACACATGCAATTCCACAGATTATGCTATCTCTTCCGTTTAGAAAATAAAAAATAATAGTAATATCACGAATCCGATAAAAGCGCTGTCGTACATACGATTTCTGCACACTCCGGTTGTGTCGTACATACGATTTCTGCACACTCCGGTTGCTTGGAGGAAATGTACTGCCCGATAGCTTATCTCTGTAATGTTGTTTATCGCGATAACTTTTTTTTTGCAAAACCACCTTGTCATATGTAGATAAGGCAGATATAAATTCGCGAAGAACGAAAAGAAAGCGCTTCCAAACTGCCTTGCACGCGTTCGATTCGCTTTTATTTACACAGCTAAATACTTTTGTATCTTACGGTAATCTCCAAATTGTTCAAGTAATGACTTTGCCGGTAAAACGCCTGGCGCCTGTCATATTCTTATCGTTATTATTACGCCTAAAACAAAACATCACTTGCGGCTAACGAGGAAGTAATTAAGAGCAGTGACGCGGCAACGTCCCGTGTTCAAAATGTTAACAATTAACTTGGTTCGATTCGGAAATGAAGTAATTTCGTGTGTCCCTTTACCGACTAGCTTTTGGGGTATTCTTAATTTGAACGTTTCGATTTTCTTTTTTCATTTACTCAAGGATCTCTGCCAGTGAGCTACAGCGAATAACTCATATATCATAGACCCAGTGTGACTACTAAAAAAGTGTTGCCAGACTGCTTATAAGCAGATAGTATACGGCGCGGCTCCCACACGCGGGCCGCTCGAAGCGTGAACACTTTGTCGCGCACCAAGTAGCCGCTATTAAAGGCAGTGAAACAGCGCACCAGTTTGTATCGCAAGAGGTTTGTGGGGTAACCCATTTATTGCGAGCGCGGGATGCGCGGCGGAGACCGGTTCCTCCCCTCCCCCCTTACCCCGCGCTCGCCCCCCTCTCTAAGCGCGGTCCGCATACTTGCATCCGGGAACGAAACAATCCCGGACCTAAGACAACGCACAATCCCCCCTATTGCCGCCAGATACAGCTCACTTCTTGGCGGCGGCCGACCCTTGCCCTCGCCAAGTAGCCGAGTGAGGATGACATTCTAGAACTACAAGCGGGCGCGCGTAACCTTGATAATGCAGCAGCGAAACCAGTAGGATAAGTCCACCCGGGTTAAAAATAGAAACGGCCGCGCATAAAATGCGCGTTCCTTTTTTCCGCCGCCGCGTCGTCGTCGTTTTGTTAGCGTCCTCCCGGGCGCTGGCGATTTTATGTGGCGCGTTCAGGGAACGGTTCATTAAATTGTATATAACGTCGTCCGCGAACACTTGCACAACCGTTAGCTTATCGCTCCATACTCATTCGCCCCGTACTACCAACGTCTGAATGTCCGAAAGTGGTGTAGTACTGTAAATTGAGTTAAATTTCTTCTCTTAGAAAACTGCGCAAACTTACTTTAAATCGTTGTTCCTCAATCATAGTCCTTTAGAGACAATTCTCGCAAATCGTTGTACCTCACGATTCTACGGAGGAAAGAAAGAAAGTCAAGTCCTCGAGTACAGTAGCAAGAAACACTTTATTTATTTAATTTTACCCAAAGCCGCACCAGTCTATAATTTAGTTGATGGGACCGGTTATGTTAATAGTTAGTTAATATTTCGATACATGTTATGTTATGCTTGTAATAAGTAAGAGATAATATTGTTTTAAAATCTATTCGTAGAACTCTACAGTTATTTGTCTTCACCAACATGTTACTGATATATATACGCTACATTATATTCAGACGTCACCAACCCGAAACCCTTGTCTCGTCGCGTACACAGAGTAAATACGGTATTTGGGTTAACACCGTATTAAAGTACTCTCTTCGAGCCTAGGCGCTGTACGTAACAGATGTCACGAAATGATAAGTTGCCTTTTACCGCACCCGTGTCACATTCAAACAAATTTCGCAATAGTTTTTATAGACCGCAGACTATAAATTGTAATTATAATATAAAATAATATAATATATTATTTATACTAGAGTTTACTTTCAAACATATTTTTTTTTAATTAACAAAGAATTTTCTTAACAGCAACATTGTGCCACGATACATTATGGTATCGCATGGTGATTCATTCGGTCTCCGCGAAAATGTTCGCTATGTCGAAATTCCATTACACGAACGAACAGCACCGGAATTTGTTTATCAGCTGTTTCAACGCGGAAACACTAGCTGTTGAGGAAAACGGGGCGATATTCATTTTCTAATTTGCCGCTGGGCCGTATGCGAACGCACGGAAATGGGCACACTGAAATGAGCACGCTGGAGACTGGACTGCGTAATAACTTCGTTACACAAATCGCCTGTATAAAAGGAGCAGCACTGAAATTGAGAGCGAACGGGGCACATTGCCGCGGACAGTGACTCTGTTATAGGCGACTTGTACTGCGATCATGCGAAATGGATGGACACCGCACGCACGTGCTGCGGGGTCAACGACCCGCCGATAAGCCGCGCGAAAATACGCGACTTAGATAATATTAGAAAGAAAATGGCGGCCGGTGTCCGTGGAGTGTTTACCGCGCTTCTATAAATACCTACCGCTGCGCGTCGAAGCGAGTCTAATCATATTATATAACAGCTAAAATCCGAGCGTAAGCTTATGTATTAGCTGTAGAGTATAACGTTACACACATAGCGTACTTTCAGATACAAAATATACTGTTTTCAACGATTTCCTTTCACAACGCATTAAAGAATCCTTCATAGAGTAAAAGGTGCCCGCTGACGTCGTCACGCAATTTTATCAAACGCTATCTTATCGTTCGCGAAATTTTACATGCCCAATATAATCATTACCGAACAGCCGTCGCGACTTCCTTGTTTACGGGGCTGCCACTGTCGGTGAGTAATTACCAAATATGTGCAAATAGAAAACAGACATGGAACAAATTGTTTTCTTTTATTACATCATAACTAACAAAATCACTTGCTTCAAATTTGCAAGGATTGATCGAATCCAAGTGATACGAGTATATTGCATTCGGTTTCGAAATACACTGAAAAATCGTGACATGTGGCTAGAGGAAAACGGTGCGGCGGCGACTGGCCACCGAGCTACTGAGGCATTGGGGTCAAGGCGAAGTCTCGAGCGTCGGTTGACGCAATCCAGCCCGCCATTATCTGCTCCAACTAGTTCTTATCAAAGCTTAGGTGAATTTTTTTAAGTCGCTTCTGACTCCTCCGCGCGTTCTTTTAATTACGTTACGAAATCTCTTCGCGGATCTCGCGGACCACGCTAATCTATTGTTACATAGACAGATTATCCAAAATACCATCAATCGGCATCAATTGTGTGAATTTTTGAACTCTTATACGCTCCCAACTTGAATATAATGTACCAATTTGGAATCCTTTTTACTACAAATATGTAAACGAGATTGAGAAGGTCCAACGAAAGTTTCTTCGCTCTATGCAATATAGATGTAAGAAGTCCAATTTATCATATACACAATTATTAAATAACTATAATTTGCTATCACTTGAGGCAAGACGTATATATTTAGAAGCTAATGTGTTATACTGTATTGTGCACAACAATTTTGATTGCATTGATTTAACAAATAAGATTTGCTATGTAGTTCCTCGTACTACCCATAAACGAACAGTTCGCCCGGGCACTCTCTTTGCCATCAATACTTGCCGAACAAACTCAGGACTACGATGTCCTATACAACGTATGCTTAAATCATATAACTCCAATTTTGTTGATATTGATATATTTGAATGCTCTAAATCTAAGTATAAGAACCAAATAGTTTCCAAATTAAATAAGTTAAGCTATACTTTTTAATAATTATGTATTTTTGTATTTTTGTATTCTTGAAGTGTTACTTTTTTTTATTCTTTCTATCTTTGTGCTATTTATTATTGTTTTTTATTTTTATTTTTGTAACGTATCTAGTAGCTTCAATTAAAATAATATTGTATGTTTAATACGTGGATAATGTAGTGGGCTGTAATATTATTACTACATCAACACAACAGATCTGTTCATATCATATATTGTAGCTGTTTGTTATCCCCAATAAAATAAAATAAAATAAAGAATTAATTACGTCGTATTACCCCATCATCTAGAGGGATGGGAAAATATTATGAAGCATCCCATCTCCACAACCTGAACTTATCCATACATGCTCGTCGATTACGAGTATTTTCCATGCGTGCTTTACCAATCTGGTTTCAAATAACAAACAATTCAAAATTTCGTACTTAAAGCTTCCGTCGACGGCAAAACATCATATAGATTTCGTGTTTCGTGACATAACCGAGACGGGCTAATATTTGTTTTGTCTCATTACAATACCGATTATAGCCTAAAGTACAATCGTTGTGGAACAATCGGCGTTTTTGGACAACCATTATGTTCGCTCGAAAGCCGAATGGCAAACGGTAACGTCATATCGGCCCTACTTGATCGATATAATAATCAATAAGTAACAATCGATTGGAGGAAATAGATTAAATATCTCACACGGCCTATACGCTAATGAGGGTTTAGGTGAATCAAAGCGATTGAATTAGTCCAGGTGACGCATCCGATTGCGCCTAGGATTTAAAATTGTGTTGGTTCTTCGTCGTGATTTATGCCTGAAACCCAAGCAGAACAGCAAGTCTCTTGGGTGTAGTAACGATTAGTTTTACCATTCTGCGAGTTTATTACAGGGCGCGGGCGGGAGATTAATTATTTTATAGGTATTATCCATCTATGTTATATATTTTAGAGCACACAATCTTATTTTCGATGATTCATTGTGTCTATCGTAGGTACGTACATTACAAAGTTTTGTAGGTTGAACCCTAGTCCTGTTATATTAAATTTTGTATTTGTCTCGCTCTCGATGCCTGGCAACACAGTGACAGCAGTCGCCCGTTATCACAGGATGTTAAACAATATAACAATTATAATAAAACAATCAACAGTTACATAACACCAAATTGCACGTCTCTGTTTGTGTATGAAATGTTTTACATGACATTCCTAATGACAAGCGAATTTCCAATCTGATACCTAAATACCTAAATCAGTATAACAAATTAGGTACTATTTATTCCGTGCGTTATAAAACTGGATATATATTCTTCTTAGTCTTTGCTAACGTGTAACTTAGGCATAGTCATGGCACCGTTATTCATGATGTTATCGTGTATAAGCAAGTACTAAATTCCTTCGTCCAGTGCTCCATCAGAAAAGGAGATAATGTCCTCGCCCTGTATGGAAGTTTGGACTGCCAATTCGTGTTTACAAAATAAGAAGGCTTAGTTTAAAAAATACAGATTGTCCCGAGCGCCCCAGCGGCGCGGCTGTGAGAGAATTCTAGTCCCACGATTGTTTAGCAGGTTTCGTTTGTACAATACAATGTTTCGGCCACCGCCAACTAAGTCGAATCAAATTGGGCTATTGTCCCTATCAAGATGTGCTCTTTTCGTTACTCACGGATAGTGCACTGTTTGATAAATATAACGCAAATCATTTGCATACACCTACTGCACGCCATTTTTAATTTTTATTCTGCAATTTCAAGAACTCAATGCGTTTCCTCTTCTAAATATGTAAATTTCGAACGCTGATCCTACTACCATTGCTTGGCAATGGCATTAAATAACGCCATTTAAGTAGATAATGGCCTGTTTGGTTTTATTTATTATTTTCCGATGATGATTTTCGTTTCACTTTTTGGCGAAGGCCTTTTGGTCCGCTGTCAAAATAAATGGTACCAAAAACAAAGATCGGTGGATTCGAAGCTATACGTTATCAATAGGCAATGATGTTTAAATAAAGTTCACGCAAGTCGATACTGCGACGGGTTTATAATTGTTCCGCTTTACATTATATGACATATATTAGTGAATTTGACAGATGATATAGACCGTATGATACGTAAAGATATAGCAGTTTATTGAGTTTCAATGTGATTACACCAATAGCCGTTATTAGAGTGGCTCAGTTTCGGTGCGCCAGCGCCATATCTACCTGATATTCGTATATATAGCATCATTGGTCCGTGTTGTGACAACGTGCCCCTCTTGCCGTTTCCAGTGGGCGCCGTGAACGAGCGCGACGCGTACGGCTACGGGTACGGCGGCGGGGGCGGGGGGGCGCACCACTTCGCCGCGCCCGCGCCCCCACCCCTGCCCCACGACGAGCTGCCCTACTCGGTGTTCGACTTCGGCGACTACCAGCGGCACCACCACCACAACAAGCTCAAGCCGAAGAAGAGGCCGCGCAGCGACGCGCCGCCCACGCCCGGCGTGAAGCGCAAGAGCCGCGAGGGCTCCACCACCTACCTGTGGGAGTTCCTGCTCAAGCTGCTGCAGGACCGCGAGTACTGCCCGCGCTACATCAAGTGGACGAACCGCGAGAAGGGCGTCTTCAAGCTGGTCGACTCCAAAGCGGTCTCGCGCCTCTGGGGCCTGCACAAGAACAAGCCGGACATGAACTACGAGACGATGGGCCGCGCGCTGCGCTACTACTACCAGCGCGGCATCCTGGCCAAGGTGGACGGCCAGCGGCTCGTGTACCAGTTCGTCGACGTGCCCAAGGACATCGTCGAGATCGACTGCTCGCTCGCGTAGGCGCCCCCGGCGCGAAACTCCACGCCAGACGCCGCACGCACAGACGGACGGGACGCTGTGTCATACGTAACTACTGTTAGGGTCGCGCCACTCGCTCTATCGTCGCCACTATCGTAATGTTTTTTCACTAAACTATAACTAATTAATAGTAAATTCGTCTATTTTCCAAGTCGTCATGCATTACGTTCTCTGATCGCTTCTAACGTTGCTCTTAAGATAAATGTTATTCTCAAATCGTACTAATATAATCTTTATTGTGGAATTTAATATTTATACAAAAATAGGTGAGACGAAATTGATTGCTCAAATGTTTATATATTACCTATTTTTAGGGGAATTTCAGAATGGAACACTAAATTTGCTAGATGTTATATGGGTACGGAGTGAATTTTTGTATAATGTTGAAACGAATTTTTAAATGTTTGTAATGTAGTTTCTATACATATATTACATATTTATTGTCGAGAGACACTTCCTCGATCGACTGTACGAAATCAGAACTTCCTACCTCAGTACTACGCAAAATAATAATACATATTATAATTATACAATTTATTCGAAGAAGAAAAAACAGTTTTTACGATTTGCAATAAGTATAATATTATATAGTCTAAATAAGAGTTTATATTAAAGAAATATTTACGTAAAATGTTTATATTGTAATAACAAAAATATCGTATAGTACTTCTACCCTCAGATGAAATATATAACCACTTTGGTGCTTTTTATGGCCATTTGCATATACACCTTGTTACAACGGAATGTCCTCGCCCTTTATGTACATACATATATATTTATCTATATCAAATTTTATATTATTGTCTAATTACTAGCTAAACTGTCCCCTTGTTATGACCGAACTCTAGCAACACTGGAGGATGTGCTTTGAATATGTTAATATATGTTGCATCTCTTTCATGTGTCTCTCGAAACGCCTGTGACGGAAAGAGATGCAAGTACCCAGTGAAAGTACAATGGACGAGAAATGTACGGCAACCCCTGTTACTTTCGTTGTTCCCTGGCTTCGTCTCGTTAAAACCGAATTTTGAATGATATTATTTTAGGGCCCTCTGTTCGTGGAATGAAAAATGGAAATTCTACTAGTGTACTGAAACCTACTGCCAACTTTCTGTTAGAAAAACTGATAAATTAATAGTTAAGGTATGGATTTTGTGCGTTAATTGTGTTAATTATTAATTTTAAAATGTTTACTATAAGTGAGCTGTTTTAAGTGGACACGTTCTAGTTTATTTCGTTTATTTAAATTGTACGATAGGAAGTATCTTGGGAAGAGGTCTCGCGCGGTAATTCTTTTGACATATCACAAAGGAGAAAAGACATTATTTACCAAATTTTTCATATACAACCTTCATTCAATCTGCATATCAGAACTTAAAAAAAATAAAACAAATACGCTACCGTTGGTGACACAACAATATAATATAATGTATGTAAGCTTGCCGCGAGACCTCTATTTTTTGTTACCTGAATAAATATTATAAATAATTAATTACTATTTGTGGTCCAATGTTAATGAATCATAATACTTTTAACTAGATAGATGATAAAAAAAAGTTCTATTAAGCTGTAGCCTAGATCAAGACTATTTCAGAACAATAATAGACACAACTCGAAGATACACACGAAATTGTCTGCGTGTTCGTTGGATGGGGAGTTATTTGGGATCGTACGTCCATAATTGCTTGCGGGCGAAGTGGGTAGTCCACATACCTCGATTAAAACACGAACATTGCAGTGCGCCATATTTTTATATGTAACAAAATTGGAATATATATTATATCAAGTTGTTAGCTCGTAAGGCCCCCTCACGGCGCTAGTGTGACGGACTACACATTTCGCCCGGGGACCGTTAAAGGTTAGCGGAGCCTTAGGGTGGGTTGGGGTGTGGGAAAATGGGTGCTAAGACGTGGGACCGAGTGTTGATGCGGACATGCGTACAAACCGTAAACGTTATGAAGTTTTTTCTATATATATATATATATATATATTAGGCCAAACCAACCGAGAAACAGGTAAATTATATTTACATCCAGTGGGTTAGACGGTAATAAGGATATACGGTTGAGCGATCTCAGTGTCCATACTCCTTTAACAAATCCAGTGCCCGTTTCATGTGATTGTCGTTATAAAATATTATTAAATAAAATTGAAAAAGTGGAGTTTTAATCATATTTTAAATATTTAGGCGGATTTCTCAGTGGCTCTTTCTTTTGGCACTTTTTCTTATGCTTTTGTAAATATATCGATAGTTTTAACTTATTTATTTTTCTCTAAAGGAAGTGTCTGCCTCGCATAGCTCGCGCGAACGGTCGGACGATCTGTTTTAAATTGGCATCATTCGAATTAGGCTATTATTGGTAAGCTTAAATTGGACGATATAATTATAATGAATTACTCGTTATTATTGAACTAAATGTTGAATTGTAATTAAATTGGATGTTGACAGAGGTTATACCGCGCGCGGGCCTAGCGACCGCGCCCTTCCGGTTTTCCTTTCTAGGAAATTTCGTTCGGTAGGTTACAAATTCTATTGTAAAGTAAATAATATAATTTTAAATAAATTAATGATAGGTAATGAATGGACCACGCGATGGCAGGGAGTGCTCTCAGAATGCATAATTCGGCTACTGTGTGATGCTGACCGAAACTGTGAGATGTAAGTTACCGGCTAGTAAGGGAAATGTATGAGCAAGCATGTAAAAAGGATGCTCGGAAAAAAAATTAATGTTTTTAAACTAATTTTAGTCGAATTGATGTTGTTGAAAAATCAAAGTCTAATTATATGATGTACTTAAAAAAAATTTTTCATGTAAATTTTAACAGCACCTCGAGAAAATTATTGATAATGAAATTATATTAATTGATCCTAGTCTTAGTATCATAAATTTCATTTTTTTGTAATAACTCCTAAACGCCAGATCGGCGCGAGGCGTCCGCGTGGCCGCGTGCCGCATTTTGCACGAGCGAATGTTATATTATACGATTACAATTCATATTTAATGATCCGAAACGCACACCCTTACGACCCATTTACGGCCCGTTCATGGTGTCGCTAGATAGGAAAATGAAATTACGAAGTGCGGAAGCAAGAGAAGGTTAGTGAATTCGGTGCAGAGGAGGACTGTGGCGGCAAGTTCTGTCCACCACTACACTGTATTTTCGCTCGTTAAAGAAATGTCCAATGGTTTCGCGAATGCAAACCCCGCGAGTGTGCTTTGTTTATTCCATTTAAATCGTTGAGAAATATATTTAGCGTTAACAGATAATGGTTCAGGCGTCAAAACTGCCGTTGGTTTTTGGTGTTTTCACAGATTACAATTATGATTATTATTAATATTGTTTTCATTCTGAGAGTGATGTGCGGTGATTATTTTGCGTTACACTTGCTTTTAGACTTACGCAGTTAAAGTCCGATATGTTAATTTGTAATTTTATTTCTAGTTGATTAATTTAACAAAATACTGTATTTTCTGCCCCTCTTCCCCCTTAGTTAAGTTATTTTTCTATGTATAGCTAGTTATAAGTGTAAATGATTTAGCACATAAATTTGATGCATGATGATAATGTTAATAAAATATCCACAATAAAATACAACCGTCTCGTTTTTTCTTAACATTCATTCACAACCCTCAAGTAACTAATTTAAGTAACATAATGAAACAATATTTATTGAGAACGTGGTCGTGAGCCTATGAGGCAAAAGTGGAGGTGCAAGAAGAAAGTGGTTTGTTTGTTGTCTCAGAAAAACAGAACAGAACGCTAAACGTGATCGTGTAATGCTGTAGAGATTATTTACTTGTTAATAAAGTCAAGAAAGTTCATGCTTCACACATTTTTTTTTTTGGTAAGGTAAACATGCCAGTCAAGTTCAACTAGTACCAGCCTATACATGTCCCGCTGCTGGGCAAAAGCCTCCTCTGTACAGAGGGTATCATGGCATACTCCACCACGCGGCCCCACTGCGGATTGGCGTACTTCAAATATTTTTTTTATTATTATTTCGAAAATATGCAGATTTCCTCACGATGTTTTCCTTCACCGCTGAGCACGTGATAATTCAGCACTTGAAATTAACAATTTCATTAGTGCCGGCACCGAGGTACAAACTCAGGTTGCTTGCGGACTGAGCTATCAACTTTATTAACAAAAAACAAAACTGACTTCAATATATCACTCACTATAAATAATATTCTTAGTTAGTAGTGTCCACTGTACATTTATTCCGATCTTATATTTGAATTTGAGAAAAATAAGCCGCTATTGTATTATGGTTAGGTTCAACTGCGTTTGGATCAAACCCCAGGCCATATTCTTATACGGCAAATCTATTAATAGCAATGGAAGGGATGAAATTAATGATTTACTACCTATCAGGTGGGGCACAGTGCTATAATAGTGTAAGTGATGCGCCTCAAACCTAGCGCGCTATCCGCGAATCAAACTATAAAATCATCAGAATCGATCGCCGGCACCCCCCAAGCGGCGGAACGATCATTGTATTATGATAAACTCGCCTCCGTTCGTTAATATATAGATTTGTCCGTATGCAGAAGCACTACGTGTGCTATTAACCCATTGTTTTAGCTGCAGTCCATTTATCGCCGAAAAGTAATATAAAAAATGTCACCCGATGTCGATGCTTCTAGACAACGACTTATATTCCAAGCACTTTGCTAGGAGTAGTTATAATAATAAAGCAAACGAATGCGCCTTCTTCGCCTTAAGCAAGGATGTGGTTCCAGGAAATGAGTAGATTCGTGGCTTACTTAGAGAACACGTAGATGGTAGTAATGGTCAGAAAATGGCATCATGTACATAATTTAAAATCTGAAAAAATGTCCAGGGTCCGGCCTCGACGCAACTGTATGATTAAAACACTCCCTGCCTACTTCTTGAAACTCTCTTCTTCCCCGATGCGTGAAAGAAAGTACAAATCGTCGGCATCCCTAATCCGATAAGCCCAGAAACTTAGCTTTGAATTACCGACCCTCTAGTCGTCTCTCCGCCATGGGTAAAATTTATAAAAGCATCATTTTCGTTTCATTTAAATGTTGAATAAATAAAATATATATTAGAAAGTGATAGCTCAGTGTCCGGGCGCTCGCCTTTAATTCAATATAGTCGAGCAACCTGAGTTTGATCCCCGGTTCCCGCACCAATGAAGTTTATAACTTTAAGTGCTGACTTATCACGTGCTCCGCGGTGAAGGAAAACATTGCGAGGAAACCTGCATATTTTCGAAATAATAACAAAAATAAAAATATTTTTCGAAGAAATGTGAAGTCCACCAATCCGCAGTGGGGCCGCGTGGTGGACTATGCCCTGATACCCTCTGTATAGAGGAGGCCTTTGCCCAGCAGTGGTAAGTAAAAAAAAATGTGTGCGTGTACTAGCGTACACTCGTAAGAAGTGAAACTTTTTTATGACGTTATTTTTCAAAAAATAATTTACTATATGCAACTTTACAGAAATTGGTTAAATAAAGTTAAATTAGATAAAGTTTAATAAAAGGCTTTTATTATCATAGACATAAATACAAATTCTACAATTATTTCATTTTAGCTTTGTATAATATTTAGTTTCTTATTTGTAATAGATAGGTGGCGTTAGTAGTAAATTAAAATACACTATGGTTTGACCGTTGTAATTAGTATGAGGGTCCGCAAAAATTGTTGATTAAAAAACTTTCAACGTGAACCTTGTTTATTTCAATTAACGTCACGGACCCAAAATACAACCGCTTTGAATTTGTATATGGTCCTTCGTTGCCGAATAGTCAGCCAGTGAGTAGAAGGCAGACATTCGACCCGCGCGCGAGTGTTGTGAGTGACGTTTTTTTTGGAAAACCGAACTTGCGGACGTTGGATCGACGTCGCAACCGCAAGTTCCAGGAGCCGATCGAGGTTTCGAAGAGCATCATCGGTCAGCTTCAGATTGTGTCTTCGGTGGAAGGCGCAGTCAGGTCACGGTGGGCGGTGCCTGCCTTTGGAGTTTGGAGAAGAGGAAGTCTCTACAGTGTCGTGCTCTGAAGTATTAGAGCTAGCACTGTCATTACTACAAATATTATTATTGAATTTCATTAATTGTAATAGAATTATTACTATCATTGATGTCGTTATTATATATTTGTGTTATTAATGGCTTATGGTAACTGTAATACGAAATATATCGTTTACATTTTAGAATTAGAATTAAAATAAACCCTTTGATTTTGCTGATCACTTTAATATAACATATATATATATTGTTATGAACACACAAAGGAACTAACGCCATCTAGCGTCATAAGAAAAAGATGGCGCGTAACGCAAAAATGTTACACTAAATTTTTTTCCAACCCCGATAAAGAAGTTTCACTTCAAAAAGAGTAACAGCCTATATGTGTCGTATAGGCTGTTACTTTACTTTACTATATTATAAAGTGCGGCCATCTGTTAATGATTGTAAGAAAATTATTAAAAATAATACGAAAAAATTCAAAAAAATATTATTCAACTACTAAAACTTCCGTGAGAAGGGGCGCGACCACGAACTCATCCCCCTCACCCTGATGAAGAACCTCCGATAAGTTCTAAACTTTATTATTGTTTATTTAATTTTTGTTTATTAATAATATTTTATTTAAACAAATAATGAAATATACAATAATTTAATAAACTTTTTGCTAACTGTTTCTTTTCGCATCTGAAAATGCGAAAGAGATGTAAATAATCCATACTAGCTTCTTTATTTGTGTTTTGAATCTTTCGTTGATCATTAAATAATCCACCATTAAATTTTGCCAACAGATATAAATATTAATATGACAATTCAATAATATATACATATAGAAAATTATGTAAAGAATTAGAACATTAATAACATTGTTAATTTTTACAATTTTCGTACTTTTCGAACGAATGACTGAACAGTGTCGTTCAGCTGACGTGTTGTTGTCATGTTATTGTCAAAGATATCTGACGTGTTACGGCAGCTGCCAGACGATATTAACAATTGTTGTCGGATTTCCCAATAATGAGAAGGAAAAAGTCTTGCAACGTAAAGAAATTGGACTGAATTCAGTGTTTATTTATTAAATTCATAAGACGTTCAAAATATCAAAATGGTTTTAATGACAATGATTGCAAGGGTCGTTGACGGCCTGCCCTTAGCTGCTACAATGCAAGAGGATGACCAGGTAATGAAAGTCTTGTGAAATTAAATTACCTTTATCACTTACCGAAATAACATTATTTCGAATTGTCACTCAATATTTATTTATTATATCCGCAATGTTTCATTTTTCTGTATGAAATAGCTAATTAATGTTACACTAGTTTCTCTTTTTGTTTGTTTTTAATTTGGCTTGCTACCACCGTTTTTGCAGAGCGGCTGCAATATACTGGAGTATCAAAACCAAGCAAAAATGCTGTTTAGAAAACTAGGGCCCCAATCACCGATACGCTGTTCCATTGAAACTGGACCATATCTCTTTCAGTGAGTTTCATCGCTTCTTATTTTTGTTTGTCATTAGTATCATAATATAAAAATCTTGGTATACTGTTTATATCGGTTTTTTTCTATATTTCATATTTGCACAGCTTTTGAGTAATGCTTTACATTAGATAATTAATTGTAATGCATTGTTCAAACATCTGCATTTTGTTCCAGCTATTTGATAGAGAATGAGATCTGTTACTTAGTCCTTTGTGAAAGGAATTATAGTAAACGACTTGCATTCAGTTACTTAGAAGAAATAGCTCAAGAGTTCTACCAACAATACGGAAAAAGAGTGAGTTGTCTTAATAACAAAGTAAAGAAAACTAAAGGGTTACAATTAATTTACCAGTAACATTTTTTTGAAAAGTTGTCAAGCTTGCCACCAGCTTACTGACGTTACAAGTAAATGAATACTGCTTTGACAACCATTATTAGTGGTTACCTCATTCACCAGACAAAATGCGAAAGTTTACCACCATCAGTTCATGCTGATCTTCTGTGAGGCCATGGCCTGGATGAGCCTACTCATTTTTGCAACAGCAGAAGCTGCTGTATAGCTCTACCATAATAGAACTGTTATTATTTTATAGTTTTCTTGCTTTGTTTAAAATGGTGTCCTATCAAACTAAGCTGAACTGCTGAACAATAAAATAATTGTTGTAAATGCAAAATAAATAATATAATATTTTACAAACAAAAAATTTATGGAACATTGACTTCAATATCAGAACAATTGAAAATTGTAGGAGCTACTATCAACTTTCAGGTCAATACTGTGACCAGGCCGTACACATTCATCGAGTTCGACACGTGGATGCAGCGTGCGCGGAAGCAATATGCCGAGGGCGGCGCCCGGGCGCGCCGCTCCGGCGCCGCGGCGCAGCTCGGTGGCCAATTAGGCGATGTGCAGCGTATCATGATGCAGAACATTGATGATGTACTGCAGCGCGGCGCTGTTCTGTCTGGTATGTTTATATATGACATTTTTTTTTATAAAAGATAGTCTGTACCAAATCAGCAAATGGATGACATTGAGTATTGCAAACCTTTAAGACTGTAGGTCAGTGACCATTGACCAACCCTTACTCACAAAATGAATCATTATTTATATTTCATGCTGGTCTAATGTGTGACTGTGGTATTGCCCTGGACAAGCCCACATATTAAATTGATGCACATGGCCCATAATTTCTTTTTATTATTGTTACCCATTTTCTTCTTGTTTTCTTTTTCTGATGATGTTAGAAAAACCTTAGTGCCTCGGCCATAGGACCTTTAGCTTATCGATTATCTAGCTGAGAAATTAATCTTCATTGCCAATCAGTCAATTGTTTTTATTTAAACTCTTGACAAGTCATTAAGTCAAAATGTTACCTATATGGACACAAATATACATATAAGTTTGTTTTTATTTCTTAATTTTTTTTTATTACATTAGCATATAACTATAGTTGGGAGCAACTGTTTCCTTTATAGTGGAAAGTGTTAACTGATTGCGACAAAATAGTTTAAATATAGCTGTTATCATTCTATTTTATTTGTACATTTGTACATAGTATTATTTGACTTATGTATATTTATGTCTTACTGTCGGGATAAAGCCTCTTCCATACTGAGAGTATCAGGGGATAGTCCACATGATGGACTGGCAAATTTCAAATATCTTCAAAATAATAATGATAGACATTGTTATGATATTCATATTTCGATATCGAGTTGAAGGCACCCTCTCCACAAGCCGCCGCCTCACGGCCGGCGTACCACAAGGCTCCTGCCTCTCACCTTTGCTCTTTACGCTCTACACGAGCGATATACCTAAAGACCCCCACGTCAATCTCGCGCTTTTCGCGGATGACACGGCGCTCTTTTATTCAGACCGCAACCTTAGACAACTAACCACTCGACTCCAAAGCGCCGCCGACCGCCTCGGCGACTGGTTCCGCAAATGGAGAATAGAAATAAATCCCGAAAAGAGTGTAGCGATTCACTTCACACGAAGTACTTACCCGTCACATCTTTATAATGGTCCTCGCCAATGCAGAAAGTTGGGGCAAATATCCCTTTATGGCCAACCGCTCCCCTGGGAGAAAAAGGTCAAATACTTAGGAGTCACTTTCGACTCGCGTATGTCATTTACTACGCACATTAATAACGTTCGTAATAGAGCCGCGTTCGTCTCCGGCCGGCTACACAATTTAACTAACGCTAAAAGTAAAATGCCCTTAAGGCACAAATTATTATTATATAAGACCTGCGTACGACCTATTATGTCCTACGCATGCATGATCTTCGCCCACACGCACCCTACTCGCTTGTACAAGCTGCAAATAGTACAAAATAAGTTCATCCGCCGTGCAACTGGTGCGCAGTGGTATCAACGCAACGTCGATCTGCACAGCGATTGCAGACTCCCGACGATTCGCGAATATTTTAAAGACCTGACCAAACGGTTCTTCGATAGAGCCGAATATCATCCCAACCCTCTGGTGGTAAGCGCAGCAAATTACCAACCCGACACAAACGCAAACGTCAACAAGCGTCGCCCGCGAAACGTCCTCATCGACCCGGTCGAGGAAGGGGACTTAGATACGCCGGACCCACCGCCGGGGGTCCCGCCGGACAACACTACACACACAGTTAGTGTAACAACAAACACACTAGTTCGCCCTCGCCTCCGAGCACGGCGAGACCAACACAACGCGTACACAAGGTACACCCGCGTTCCAGGGCGGTTCTCACCGCCCCCAGCCACCGATTAGCTAAAAACACAGTCGACGGCCATCGGGGTCTCGGTCCGCACCGCAACTTGGATGGCCCTTAGATGACATGTCGTAGTTAAACGCACGCATGAGCACATGCGCGGCCCTACCCACAGCGGAGGGCCCAAACCCGTGGGTTCTGGCTAACCCACCGGTTCTGCGTCAGATGAAGCTTTAATAGTCTCGGGACTGAAAGCAAAAACATCAGTTAATACAAGATACAAGATATTCATATTATCAGTAATAATGTGATTTTTAACTTTTTTTTACAGAGTTGGATACTAAGACACAAAACTTATCAATGATGTCACAGAAATACAAGAAGGATGCAACATACCTAAATACAAAGTCTATGTTGGTGAAGGTCACTGCAGGGGCAGTGGTATTACTAGTGATTGTTTTGTATTTCTGGGTGCTTTAAAGTTGCCTCGAAACAATTATAAGCAATATTGTGAAGAATGTAACATCTGTGACAGATTGAAAACATAAGCAGTTTTTTTTTGAAAATTACTATGTTAATTTCTTATATGCTTTTGAGTCAGGCTTTATAAAAAGGGGAAAACATGTATATGGAATACTACATAATAATGTAAATTTCTATTGTAATAACATGTTTATCTGTAAGCTTTAACCCTTATTACATTTTCTTCTCCTTAACTTCTTTATTTAAATCTCATCCTAGTAATTTGTCTCTTTTTAATATCGTTACCATTAAACTTTCAACTATAAATGAAAACTTTAGTCACATATATATAAATATTCACTTTTGAATGGACCTATGCATGTGTTAATGTTTTTAAATTTAAACATGTTCAAAATAAAACTATGTAAATCAAACACAGTTCATAATTCTTACCAATGTTCGTCACAATATTGCAATTTGTGTAGTTCCAATTTATAATAGTCCCCAACTAGATTTAATATGTATGTCTTCTTTCGAATAAATGAACATTATTAAAAAGAATGGTAAGTTATGAATCATTCCAGCGCAACATATGTAAATTAGCATTGAACATAGTTTTAAATCAAAGAGATATTTTTTAATCATTTTAAATAACCTAACCTAAGCGATCCGGCTACATCAAGTGTGAAATTGCAAATATTTGAAATTTTAACACTAATACTTCCCCAATATGTTACTTCATTAATGGTAATACCAAAACATTGAATAAATATAGCAATACTCTGTTGTTATACCCAATTATTTTGGAATAAAGATTGCATCGGTCAATCTTTCCATAAGACAAATTGTCAAGGCTTTTGTATAAATTGTGATTATTGAGGTAGAGCAAAAAGTTTGCTTAATGTAACTAAGTAAAATTTCGGTATGCCTTTTAATTGGTACAAATAATGTTGTCAATACTTGGTGAGTTTTGTAACTAATTAGATTAAGCTATCTAGCTTTAGCAATGAAATATATCCGATGTTGGCCTTTTAGTAGGATGACCTTCAGAGCTCCTTACCACATATTTTTTTATACAAATCGCACGGATGGTGATGGAATGTTGTATATGTTAACCACAAATTGTTTTTGTATTTATTTAAGATTGAAATAAAAAACACATACTTTTCAATTTGGTCTTTGATTACTATGTGAAGATACATTATTTTAGAGATAAAAATCAAATTCGAACTCATTTAGCTGGTGGTATAACAATATTAAAAACAAATTTACAATTAAGATAAAAAAACAGTTTTTAGTCTCAATTGTACCTAATACTTTTAAAGAACAATATTTTTTTAATTATATAGTCCTTATAATATATGTTCATATCTTATATTTATTCTCCTATAACATTCTCCAACTTTTATATCCCTAGTTGCACCTACCATAAGCTCATCATTCTGGATTGACTGGTAGAGAATTGCATTCGGCATTAAGCACACTTTTTTACCTTTTTATTTAGGGTTTACAAACAAAGCAAGCTTAAATATATTAACATGTACAATATACATATAAATTAGCATAGCAATATTTTTTTATATAAGGCAAGGGCAAGCCATTTTGTGGTACACTTGAAGATGGTCATTTGAAACGACTGTAGAGTTGCCACCATTTAATAAAGTGGGTATAGTTTACACTTACTAGACAAAATGCAGAAGTATTACTTCCACTTCACTCTTCTGCTGTGAGGTCTTGGTACTTCACCAGATGGATCTGCCTATTCATGCAACACAACATTGCACAAATGGCATTATTTATTAAACCAATAAAAGCAAAATTTTCAAATTCGTTATTGAAGTATTTATAAAACAAAACCAAATCAAATTTTTTTTACTTAAATAAATAAAAACAATAGCATCTTCAAAATCCCTTGTGACAGAATGTTATAATGATTTAGCTATTCTCATCTGCCGTTTTATCTATCTCATCTTCTTCAAGGGGGACTTTAGCTAGATGAATCATAGTAACAGAAGTCAGTGTTTCTTTAAGTCTTATTGCCATAGATGTATTTATGACCTACAGGGAAATAAAGATGATTATTCTGCAGACAATTCTTATGCAATATCTTATTTGATAATTAAAAGTCAAAAATATCAAAATGAGTCTGGGTTCCCGCCTTTTAACATTCAATATTCTTGCATAACCTAGGTTCAAATCAGTGGTAGCATCAATGTAAAGTTAATAATTGTTAATAAGTGATAATTTAAGTGTTGATTTATTACATGCTAAATAACGAAGGAAAGCGTCAAAAAACAAAAAGAATAATAAAAAAAACATTTAGGACATATGTGGAATCTGTCCCTAATGCCGTCTAAAAAGAGGAATCCTTTGCCCAGCAGTGGGAAATATAGGCTTATAATATTTTTATTGCTTTTATATATAATATGTGATAATACAACTTATTGACTTGTTTTTTAGAATAAATGTGTCTTACACATAATTTACCACATTTGACAATTTATGTAATGAAACAGTGTTGTAAAGGGATAAAATAAAAGTACCTGCACCAAACTGGCAAATACTATTGGTTCTTGCTTCCATTGTACGGTTCCAAATATTTGTACAGTGTATGGAATGAATGTAGGTTTAGGGGGTGCCTTGAGATACTTCATTGAGACTCTTATTTTAACTTCATTGCTATTGCTCATAGGCAGATTTATCTAGAATATTTAGTAAAACACAAGTACATGGGTTTTAAACAATTCTGAATTTACTGTTATACGTTCCCAAGTTCTCGTTTCTTTTCCTAGATTACAAACTTGTTTTAAATTATACAATTTAAATAATTAATAAGTGTTAGTTGAAAATTTCATGTTGCTAAATTCAAATATTACTTACACTGAATATAAAAAATTTACCACTACAACTTTTCAAAACTCCTACAGTACGGCATTTGATAATATGATTTTTAAAATTTTCACACTTTAGTATTAAATCTTGAATGTCGAAATGAGTGTAGAAATCATCCTGGAAGAAAAATTATTAAAGACTACAAAGAGGAGTCTCGTCCCTCTTTCAAATTATTTTATTTATATAGAAATTTTATTCACAATGATTAGAACTAGAGAATTCAAAAGAGACATAAGTTTCATTTGAAATAATTATTGTCATGAACTCACCCTATTACATTCAGAACAGAATGGAATATCCGAGTAATGCTTAACCTTCTCATATGGCATATTTCTGAATATCGTTATATATCTAGTTCTAAGTTTTTACATTTATTTCTGATATTGAATGATTATTAATAAAAGTTGAAATTAGATAGGAATGTGGGTATTCTTATTCTTCAAAGGCAGTTGGCGGTCCATATGATATGACACAATAATGATAAAGAAACAAATGGTTACAAATGTCTAAGAATATCTTCTGTTTGTTTATTTATGCTCTGTTTTTATAATTATATGATGAAGAGAAGAAGGTGGATAGTGGGTATTATTATTATTTAAATTTATTATTATAACGGGCTAACGCGACGGGAACTGTCAAGTGTCAACTGACTGTCAAGATTAGGGATGTATTTTTTATAATATATCGTTGTTTTTAACCAATATATCGATATAAAATATGCAATATTGAAATCGTATCAAAAACTATATTTTTTTTCATATTTTCTGAAACACTAATCTTTTATTGTCTCTGAAACACTGATCATCATAGAAGATGGTAAAGCTCTTTAAATTCTGATCATTCTTATCTATCCAGAGAGTGTTTAACCATCGTTTTCGCAACTCAAATAACATTTGAAAAGAAATTTGACAGCCGATTATGTAACTTCTACAATAATCAGCGGCATACATTAATTTTTTTGAAGACAAAAAGAATAAATCAATATTTTCTCTTTGATCTTTGCTATATCTACGATTATATTGATATTTTTATAAATATCGATATATTTTTTCACTTTGGCATTCCTAGTCAAGATGGAGTAAAAACAATTTTTAACCGACCTTTATGTGTGTTCGCGGATAACTTCGTCGTTTATGAACCAATTTCGATGATTCTTTTTTTGTTGGAAAAGAGATGCTACCAGCGTGATAATGAAACCCGGATTTGATGATGAAATCCCAGAGAAATCGAGGGCAATCCTCAAATGTTATTATTATTTTATGTTATGTTGTATTAACAATGTTTTAATTTTCCAGTTTGAAGTTGGTATTTTTTGTTATCAATAAATATCTCGTTAATACGTATTCTCCTTTATTGTTGGTAAATATTATACTTTATACTTTTGTATAAAAATAAATTATGTAAAAATACTTTTTTCGTCAGGTCTGGCATACTACCTCGGGAGAAAAGAAGTCAAATAGCACTAAATACACAAGGGGGCACTTATGACAATCGACCCATAATGACGTACTCACGCTAGAGTTTTTCGTGCATATAGGGGCACTATCTGAGGAGCGCTTGTCGTTCCCTTTTTATTCATTTTTCCATCTCTCATCTGGAGGGTTCTCGGGGTTGCATCGGAACGGAGGGCTCCATTGTGTTTTTTACGCACCATTTTCGTTGTTTTATTTTGAGTCTTCGCTGTGGGTCATCAATCCGTGGACCTCCGACAAAGTTGTGATAACGGCCTTCACCAAAAAGTTGAGAATTTGTATAGTAACTAGCTTTTAGCTATGACTTTACCTTGGTCATGAAAAATAATGGGAGTTTTTGGGGACTGCCAATAGAAGTGAAAACTAAATAAATTATCAATAACTCATATATTTATTTATAAATAAAGTTATTATAATGTTAAAATTGTTAATAATTATTCTTAAGTTAAAAATAATAAATATATATATTATATATAATATAATAAAATATAATTAAAATAAATAAAAGTGTTCAGTGACGATGACTCAATTTCCATGATTTTTGTTCACACAAAAAGTGCTCATTGCGCCTATAGAAGTTTTCACTCCAAAATGAGCTATGATACGATACTATACGAGTACTGCAGATTAATTATACATACGATTTGTCAAAAATAATAAGATTCATTCATTTGCTGTCGTCAATCGTCATTCTTCTATCTGTCATCAATATTTATATTTTAAGTAATGGAAGAATAAATAGTTATAAATTACAGAAAATAAAAGTCGAAATCCTATTAAAACAACCATATTAATAGCAAATCCATTCTAATGTCTTCAACATTAGTCGAGTTGCGTCCAGACCGGCGTCTTTTGGACCATGAATTCGAAGGTTACAAATTAAACTTACGGGCTCTTCCTCATTATACTTACAACTTAAAAGTTTCTGTAGATAAAGTGTACCCTGATGAGTTGCAGTATTCTTTCGTGCATGCAAAATTATTTGCTCTTCACAATCACCTTGTACTAGACACCTGGGATTATTCATATGGCTACTACTATATCGATGCAAAACAGCAAGTACGAAAAGTTTACTTTGACAGTATAAACCAAACATTTCAATGTATAGAAGTATACGATATCCCAGCTCATACTCAAAGGAAATCGGGACATTTTAATCTTTGTTTAACCTTTGTATCTCCTAAAATAGCTATGGTAAGTGATGGCACAGGGTACCTACATATAATTGAAACTGGTGCAAGGAATAAGCCGGCTGATCAAATGCTTACATGGCAAACCTTACATTCAAGCTTAATTCTAGGTGAAAATAAATATTTCATTATAGTTGATTCAAGAATTCAGCAAAAAGATAATTTGGAAATAGCCCATTGCCTTATTCAGTCAGTAGAGCAAAATGAGAAACAATTTAATTCAATACTGACATGGGTTATTTTTCAAAATGATGGAATGAACTGGAAACAAACAAACATGAGGCATTTGCAAGGCAAAGGCATAGTTCATTATGCAGCTATGGAGACTAGTTGCTCAGCTCTATACATAGCTTCTGATAATCCTTTTAAGTTTACATTTGACTCTGAATGTGAGATTACAGAAAAACCAAAAGAGGAGCCTAGGCAAATAATCTACACATGGCTTCAAACCACTGAAGATATAACAATTACTTTAAAGTTGCAAGAAGATTATGATAAAAAATTATTTTTTGTAAGTGTTACACCATTAACTATAAAAGTGAGCTATGCTGGAAAAGTATTTCTAGATGGAAAACTAAAGCATAAAATTGAAAGTGAACTTGCCACTTGGAACTTACAAGAAAATGGCCAAGTTGACATATTAATAACAAAATATGAGAGCATGTTATGGGAAGATTTAATAGAAGGTGGTGATAGAAATGGTGAACAAATTCTAGATGCAAGTTTGGTGGAAGAAGCTCATAGAAGACTAGCTCACTTGTGTTCTGATACAGAAGTAACAGCAGACCCGTCTGTACCAGGTCTGTCCTCGCAAGAAATAGAAGAATGTGATGCTCCATCTGAAGAGGACACAGTTTTAGGTTGGTACATACAGTAGAAAAAATGCTGTTTCCTTTCACTTTCAATGCATTTTACACCAGTTTCTGGTACATTACTCAATTACAGGCATGAGTACCTCTATTGCCCTTTAGATTAATCTTGTATGTTGTTGTTATATCTACATTATATCATATAGAGAACTGAATTACTTATTTTTATTTACAGTTCGCATGGATTTACAAAAACATGAGGTCACTCATAGGATTCCATTAAGCGTTCATCAATACTTATTTGACACGAAACTAGATACAAATGAAGTGCCTGCATTGGCCCTGCGCCATGATGTTGATGCATGCATCTGGCAACCTTATGCACAGTTAATTAACTCCGAAACATGGCCTATAAAGCACCAAGGCACTCTTCTGGCATTTGGTTATGTACAATCTTCTAAACAGAACCGCAAGTTTGTCACCTGTCCACCGAATTTTACCTATAGTGTTGTATGTGAGGCATCAAAGCACATTTTTATTTATAAAAATTCAAGCAATCAGGATTCTCAGCTAAGAAAACGGTCTGAAGGCCTCATGAAAAACGTACATATTGGTCAACAATATGTTCTAAACATAGACAAGTATGGGGAAGTTTTAGGCATTAATGCTACAAATGAATACTTATTTGTTATGACTGAGCATAATTTAATTGCTATACAAATCCAGTGAATAAATCAGGATGAGAAACTATTATTTTCTAGATTCATTAATATTATTAATATTGTTGTCACATTCACCATCACTGTCACTACTAATACTTTCTTCCGATGAGTAGCCTGTTGTAAATAATAGGTTCTTAGGTCTTTTTTTCCTTTCTTCTTTCAACTCTTTTTCAATTTCCATTTTTTTCTGCTTTGCTATCTTCTCCGTTAACAACTGTCTCGGCCTTTTTCTCTGCTCTTTGTATGTATGGTTGGGATTTTCATTATGAGTTCCATTATTTGTAATTGATTGATTTGTGTTATCATTATTTTCACTTGTTTCTTTTCTATCATAATTAAATTCATCTTCTGTAAATAAAAAAAAAAACACTTGTAGTAAGTGTTTTAATTCCAAATTTAAATTGTTTTTACAGTGCTAATCTCTGCTCTAAAGATTGAACATTAAAATATGTAGAAAAAGTACGAAAAGATTGCCGCCGCTGTGGGAATCGAACCCACGTCTTCGGCATTCGCGGCCTGATGCTTTATAAATTGATCTATATTATTAAAATAATGTAAAATATGATCAAAGATGTTAAGATTTTCGTTGGTGTGACAATCAGCCGTTTGACTTAGTGGTTAAAGCGTCAGGCCGCGAATGCCGAAAACGTAGGTTCTATTCCCACAAAATAATTGAGAAAATAACTAATTACCTGGTGTTACAATTTCAAAGTTATAAGCATGATCTTTGAGAACAATAAATATAATTGGAAATTCTACAATACATTTGCCTGATAAATTTTCTCCTAAAGATTCTTTAGGGTCTAACTCAAAGAACTTTTTAGCAGAACCCCTTATCTTTTCAGCTGAAAATAAAATTTAGTTTCAATTAAATTTAAAAATGTAATTTACCTTTTAAACCCAACAATTACTTTTACGGTAATAATTTTTAAATAAATCTTAAGTACTACCTTTTAGTAAAACTTTGACCCCATTAAATCCAGCTGATTTGTAATAAAGTAAAGCTTTTGATCCTTCAAAGGGCTCTGCATTTGGATTTATATATTTATCTACAAGTGTTGATAATTTTGTTTGTTCAGAACACTTCTCATCCACAAACTTCAATGGATTTGTATCTACATTGGGGAATATCCACTCAACTCTCCATGATATAACATCAGTCTTATAATTATATCTTGTACTGTTCATTACGTGTCTCGTAAAGTTTTGGGCTAAAAATTGTAAAACAGTACCTCTCTTCCTGGCTGCCATTTTTAATTTAAACAAATGCTGAAATTACAAATCATATTTGTTATATCAAAACACAACTTTATATTTTTAAATTTAATATTTTTCGTGTATACATACAATTGGCAAATCTTTGTCAATTCTCGTATATTTCTTTTTCTCATCTCTCCTAACAGCATACACAAACCGAGCACACTCTTCCAACAATCTATAATCGCTCAATAGATCAGTGTCAGTGAAATCTTTCATTCTGATGAATTTTGTTCGGTCACGTATACCGTCGCATTCCAACTCTTTTTTGTGTATTCGAACACAGGTTAAGCAACATGTTTTAACTTCACATTTCGGACAGGTATATATTGCTTTATTTGCTGCACATACCTCGCAGTCACCAAGTCTGTACCATGACGAATTTGAGCATATTAATTTTAAAAAATAGTGCATTATATCTTATATTTACATTATTTTCAGAACAGGGAACTTTACGTGGCTTTAAAACAGCTTTTATATTTACCTGGCCTGAATTTCCCTTTCACTATCAGTATCACTATCTGAAGAAGACATTTTTCATTAAATTTATATTACAAAATCCTGTCTCAAAAAACGTTGTTCCAGCATTCGCACATGATCGATTTAAAAGTGACAATGACAAATGAATGACAATTGATGACAATCAGAAGGTTAGGTTAATGTTTACAATTTGCTAATACTTTCTGTTAAAAAATATTAATCAGGCCTAAATTGTAACTAAAATTATTATTTGGTATTTTTTTTGTTCGTATTTATTTCGTTGGTGTGTTTGTTGTATTTACATTTTGTTGCATAATAATTTTATTTGCAAGGTTCAAAATGTGAAAGAAATAAAAATGATATCAGTGAAAAGTTACTTCCAAGTATGACGTATAATTTTTTAAATGAAATTTATGTGAATAAAATTATTATCTTGTCATTATCGGACTGTTTAATAATTGTGACTTAAATCTGGATATAAAAAAAGTATAGGATTAAATTTGTTTTCGGTTGTTCAAAGAGTACTTTTATATATCTGTGGTTGTTTTTGTTTAACAAAATCTTTTTTTTCTATCTGCAGCCTGGAATTAAAGTTTATGACTTTATGTATTTCAAAATAAAAAGCGCATTGAAAATTTATATTCCTGTGGGTGGGACAAACTACAGATCTTCACCTACTTTAAAATATTCATAGATTTGACTGTTTAGTAATTAATAGTTTAATAATGGCAAACTTAGATTTTCAAGCAGATGAATGGGATTTACAATGTTCCGATGACGAGATTTCAAAAACTGGAGTGTTTATTGGCAAAAGCTGGATGCCAAATCCAGCTGAGTTGGAAGAATTATATAGAACTATTGAAAAAACAGGAACATTACCTTTAGAATGGAAATGTCCAGGAAGGCGAGCGCCATCCCCTGTTCCAGTTACCAAAGAAAATCATCCTGAAATTCCGCAGTCTCCTATAAGAGAAGAAAAATCCAACTTTGATTTCATGGATGAAGTCAGTTCACTTCGTTTGCGTTTTCGTAGGGAAGGTGAAGATACATTGAGAGGATCAGCAAAGAAGAAAACTACGTCTTTTGATGGCATTCTATCAAATATGATTAGACATAAGAGGATAGAACAGATGGAGAAGCAAGCCAATACTCCATCCTCTTCACCAAACAATACTTGATATGAATATATCCTGATATAATATATGGGTATTTTCCATCAGTTAATCTCAAGAAAAAGGCATTTGTAGACCTAGTGATTTTCATAATGCATAAAATATTTGCTTGATAGTTTAACTACCTATATGATACTATGTTTTTGAGCCCCTGAACGTATTTTTTAACAGACTTCAAAAAAGGAGGTTTCTCAATTTGACCGTATATATTTTAATTTTTTTATGTATGTTCATAGATAACTTCGTCGCTTATGAACCGATTTTGATGATTCTTTTTTTTTCGGAAAGGAGATATCCCAAGGGTGGTAACATGATAAGGAAACCCGGATTTGATGATGGCATCCCAGAGAAATCAAGGGCCATAGTTGAATGTTATAGGTATTAAAAATGTTTTTAATTTACGCATTGAAGTTGGTTTTTTTTTTTGCTAAAAATTATACTTGTTATAAATAATGATTGGTGTGGGAAATAGTGAACTTGCCTCTTCCTTGATTGGGTGTGGATTCTATCCCCACTACTGGTAAAACATTGTTTGGTGATTAGTGTTTTTCCCAGTGTCTCTGAGTGTTTTTATATGCATTTTTTATATTTATATTTATTCACAAAAGTAAGTTTAAGTATTTTTATCAGTTTTCTAGTACTCAAAATACAAGCATTCATTAGTTTGGGACTAGAAGAGAAGACATTGTGTAAAAATGTGTCTGAAAATATTAAAAATAAAATCATAATAGTGTAAAGTTACATATATATTGGCTTCTACTGCTACTACTATTTAAGGCAGATGATTTTATATTTACATATTTTGTATGGTGACTTATTTTGTCAATGTTTACATTGACAAAATAATAAAATGGTGGCATTTATCATTGTCAAGTGAACTGTTTATTTTGTTACTATAACATGGTTTATCTGTTATGAATATATTTTATTGTACTAAAACCTTATTTTTCGTTTTTTATTACTATACTACTGTCTCTTATAAATTAACAAGTACACAGCAATCAAGAAAATTCTATTAAATGTCATAAATTATTATATTGTATCAACATGCCCATAAGATGTGTGACCATGATGAAGTATAAGTATACAGAGTTCAATGTGTTTATGTAGCGACAAACATGTTAAACAATTTTTGCATGTAAGTAAATCTGAAAAATGATGATTTCTGGTGTACACTACCTGGTTAGAATCTATGATTTTCAACTATAAGGCTATTTGCAAAGGCCTCAGCCAACATTAATATGTTTTATGCACAATTTAACTACCTATTAAAGAACAACATTTGCTATTAAATGAAAACAAAGTACATAAAAATGGAATAATAATGTTGTAAAATGTATATATAGTATAGGTTGGAAAGATAATAATTAACATTTGCTTATAATTTATTATGATAAAACAACTATTTATAAAAAATGATACTAAACAGATAATTGTGCAGATGTTGGATACAACAATTCTTCATTTTCTTCAAGTATCTGTCTGCATCTATCCATATTGTTAACAATGTGGTCTATTTGCCAATGCTTCCTCAACAATGCCAAATCCACATTAAACTTCCCCTGCCTTATACATTGCAAACCTGTGCAGTGTGCAGATGTTTTCAATTGCACTCCTAGGTCATGAATTAGCGTCCATAGATACTTATCATATTCATTCACCGCTTGTACTTCTGTAATATCAAATGTATGAAATCAACAGAACTCATTCATAATAGGAATGAATTATAATTTACTAAAAAAGATAAAATATTTTTTCTCAGAAGAAACTAGACACTATTTATAGTTGTTAAATATAAACATTACTAAGTGCCAATATTTTGTTTTGGTCGAAAAATTATGCCACACCTTTAACTTTATACTTTAAATAATATTAAATATTAACCACAGATGCTTAAAGAACATACCCAAAGTAAAATTTGGAGGATGAAAGTGGACACATTTTATTCCATATAGTACAGGTAGTTTATTATTGGCAGGCCTAATAACACCCTGAGAAGCTAGTTCAAATGTGGTCTGTGAGTCCATATGAAGACCAGACATTCTGTAAAAAATATATTAAAGTTTAAACTTTGAAAATATAAATAACTGTTTGAGCCTTCTTGCCCATTTGCCAAAAAATAAGAATATGAAAAGTTTTCTTCATATTTAAAAAGAAGTAAAATTTCCTTACGTAAACATAGTCTTTTGATGTGCTGACTGCATGTGTGCCACTACTCTATCAATTTTGTCCCTGGTTATATGGCCAAATGTTGATTTCTCAACTGTTTTTCCATTCCAAAAGTATGTATCAGTAGCCTTTCCAAGTTGGCCATGGACCTTATATGCTCTTGTTGGCCTAGCCATGTTGATTTGGTAAGTTAGTCTTGTGCCCTCATTTATGCCTAGTACTGGAACATTAATGAATAATTAAACAAATATCATCATCAGCCACAAAATGTTGACTGTCAATTACATGTAAGTTTGAATAAGAAGTAAAATTAAAATGATTTTAATAATCAAAAACATCTTCGTAGGATACAGGTGATATAAGTTTTTGACCTTATTAACATTTATTATACCCCCTTGCAGAAAGGCCTTGTAGTGTATTCACAATCAATTATTTTTTTACTTATATCAATTTATTTTTTTATGCAATGACACTTACATAAAACACCACTTGTAAACAATCCAAGGTGAGTAGCCCAACTACATCTGAAGTCATCTCTAATATATCTTGGACCACAAACCAAGGGATCATCTGCATAATTGGGAACTAACTTAACAGTCATTGGGGCATTAGTAGCCCCTTCAATTTCCACTCTATTCTCTCTTGGTCTATCAGGTAGTGCATTTAGATCTAAAATAAAAAAAAAATATATTTATTATAACAGTTTATATTATGAACAACTACTCTTCTTTCAAAGTAGTTTTTGAATAATTTTATTATTTTTTCAATCCATTCTTTATCAAAATTTTATATTTTTTAGAATAATAAATTGCATACTATTAGAACATAATGGCTCCTAAGACTATAAATTTATATCATGAAAATACTTGTTAGAATTTAAAAAAAGTAATATTTTCTAAATATATATCCATGTCTGTGGTAGGATCACGCCACAGTCTTCGCTGTTACACTAATGGGCGAATCCGTCCAGGTAAGTACCGCGACTTTAAAGAAGACTGGCGTGAAGTGGAAATGTTATACATCTGCCTTTCGTCTGGTGATTGAGATAGCCAAGGCCCACTTCATTAAAAGGTGGCAACGCATCTGTAGCCCTACGGGTGTTGTAAATGTTAATGGGCGACGGTCATCATTTAATATCAGGTGAACCGCCAGTTCCTTTTCCTACCTTAAAATAAAAAAAAAAATACCCTAACCTCTGCAAAGTTTTGTTAAAATTGTGTGTTGTACTTGTCTCACTGATACGCATGGAGGTTTATAAACACAAATAAGTCCATTGAGTGTTTTATAAGCAACAGAAGCACTGTTAAATTTTACCATTGTGTTGTTTTGTTTTCGCTATTTCGCTACATTAGTTTTGTTTGATATTTGATTGACTGTCAATGTCAACTGTCTGTTAATTAAGATGCATTCATAAATTAATTTACTACTAAAACGTTTTCGTCTCAGTTATACGGCCATTATTTTTTCAATAGAGTTACCGATGTATTGAGTATTCCCTTCTGTCAGCTGTTGCTACAGGACTACACAGTCCTATGGCAACAGGTTTGTTTTTTGTTTTCCAGTAGTTTGCCGGCCGTCCCGTGGCTTTGACACCTTCAAATCAGAATAACATAGCTTGTACATGACAATGTTTATTCCGCTGCACTTCCACGACTCCTGCTAACAAAAGATGTACAATTTGATGAATTAGAATTGAAGAAGAGGCACAACACTCGGATGGATGTTTGCACCTCGGTTTGGATGGCGTTCGACAGTTGATCCTGTCCGACCAGAAGTAATAAGGTCGAAATTGCGATTAAATCACGAGACATACTGCCCGACGATTACTTACGAAAATTAAATTAAGATAACAATTAATATACGAAAATTTTAAATTAACGAAACACTGGATTTACGAAAAAACAATTAACGAAAATTATTAATCTTCGCAAGTTAAAAGTGTCGTAATTAATTACGTAACGAGCGAACGATGTTAACTTATATCAGATACACCATTAAATAACAATAAAAACCCAAACCCGCGACTTTGAATTGATGAACTATCCAGAGTCACGGGACTTCGCTGGATGCAGGACGCCTTTTCAGTAAAGGGTTCGAAGAGTCAGGAAATAAAATATAAAATAAACGCAATAAAGCCGAAAATATACTAGGTATCTAGCAACTCACTATTCCCTTCAACTTGCTTATAGTGGACGAAGATATGGAAAGTACATCAGAAGCGCCACCAGCGGACCTTCTCGAAAAAAGGTGCCGATGAGGATGATTAGACGTATTATTGTCGACAACCTCAATATCCGCTTCTCCCCTATCCTGATTACATCTCCAACCGAATGATAGGAACTCACCGCCCACATCTTCTGCCTTTTTGTAGCGATATTTAGTGCACTAAGCAGTTAACGACAGCTGCACCTTCCCCGTGGAAGGAAGCGCACGGCATTGGTATCCCTAAGCTGAATAAGTGCATCGAGCATTCTTCAAGTGCACTATTCACGAAACACATTCTCTCTAATCATGACGCTGCAAACTCCCAAAAGTAGTGTCAAGTAGGCAGGTTTTCGACTTTATAAATTAAAGGAGCCTTATAGGTGTACTAGACAGACTCGAGAAAACCTATGGGTCACGCAGCAGCTTATACTATTGCAAGAATGGGCCTGCCCAGGTATCTTTTCTTCCATATTATTATTATTATTAAAACATACATATTATCTTCCAGGTAGCCTCATAGAAAACTAGCGAGAAGTGGAAGTATAATATTTTCGATTTTCGTCTGGTGAGTTACCGTGGCCAACTGTTTAAAAGGTTATCAACTACAACCCTTTTTTAGAGATGAGGCGTATGTATTGGTACAAATATAAATACCCAGTATGAAAGTACCAGCATGCAGACCGGGTATGTACGCTATAGGCCCATTCCGGACCCCGCGGACCTAGCGCCGTCCCGTTGGACGGAAATACCGCATTTCATTACGGTCGCGCTCGACCGCCTGTGGCATTTTATACCAAATAATTCATTGAGATAAATTTATTCTTTATTTCTATGACAATTAGGTAGATAAATAATTACGTAATAAGGTTAAACAGTAATAGTTATTTTGAATTACTTTTTTTTGGTAATAGGGTTCTTTACGTTAGTAAATATAGAGCTTATTTTAGACTAATTAAATCTCAGTTAAAAAAAACTGATTGCTAAAAAAACATACCTAATACCTATAGGTATTTTGATACTGGGTTTTTGCATGGTGTATACGGTGATAACTGTACCTTTAAGGCCGGGTACAGAATGTTGCAGGTATATCCATGCCTGCCCCTCTTTTACTGCATTTGTCCATGCCATGGGCGTCGGTAATAACTTATCTTCAGGTGAACTACCAGTACGCAGTTCAATGTAAGTTTTTACATAAAAACATACCAATTAAACTGCTGTGTAAATATTATGAGTAATTCTAATAGTTACGACTTTTTTAAGACCATTTATTTACATTTATCAATACAATATTTAGCAAAACATAAAATTTTACAGGGCAACATTTTTTAGTTTTAACAACTGCAAACTAAATGACACGACATTAGTCTGTGGTGTCGAGCAATGGCCGATAGGAAAAGTGCGTCTCAGTAGCGCATCGCGAGAATCTTATTATTGTGTTCCATAGAAAAATAATAAAATAATAATGCATAGAATTTTACAAAGTGTACATTTGTGCTAAATTTTTTGTGATAAATTGTATTGTGGCTAAGAAAAGTGGTATATATTACCAACAAGTGAGTTTTCTTGTGAAATTTTTGATATAGGTAAGTTGCCCTCAAGTTTTATAAATTTATCATTGATTACTTGTAGTGAGGAAACAATATGCATTGTGACGAATCCATGTACAAAAAGTAGTATAGGAACTGTTGGATAGCTTACGGCCCCTTGCCAACTGGTCGTTTATTCACTTATGAATGCAACAACCAGCAAGTTTGCTTGTCAGTAATAATTATATCTGATCTTCGTTATTTATAAATTGGAAATAATTTTGCTATCTTTCCTAAATAGTTATTTTAAATCGGTTATTCGTATAATATAAAATAAAAAAAATTTGACGGTATTGTGTTAAGTAGATAGTAAGGTATTGGCCTATAGGTCCTTGATACCGGGCCATAATCTCCAAAAAAAAAAAAGATAGTAAGGTAAATTAACATATTTATTTATATTTAATTTATATTATAATGTTGAATAAAAATGTTGTGGAACCACGACACGGTTTTATGAATTATAAAACATTTTAAAGTAAATAACAAGAAAAATAAAAACAAAGGAATTAAATAAATGTGTTTCATAACATGTGGGCATTTCAAAGAAATGGTTAATGATAACTTCCTTATAAGAATCAAACTGTAAACAAAGTGTTATAGCTTATTGTGCTTCAGTATCGGCAAAGTCTAAACTTGAAACAATTATGTTTACTTTTGCATTCAACCCCTTCATATTTTCGAGTTCACTATTAAATCAATAATGCATAGTTTTAAAGCATTTTATTTTGCTTTAAGACTTTAAATATGTGTGACTTTTAAGTGTGTGTGAGAAATAGTTTTTTTTTATTTTATGCCTTTATGTTTAATTTCACTCAAATTGTTATACTGTTAATTAATAACAAACAGTAGTATTTTTTTGATGTCATTTGGCTTTATATAAATAATTATATTATAATACACTTAAAACAAATTTACATTTCTAAAAATTTTGTGTTAATCTTAGACCTTTATAACAAATATTTGCCTTGCGTGATTACTTAAATCCTGCCAACTAAGCGAAAATCAATTCATGTCATTTATTATAAAAACTCATAAAGTTTTGAATTGCTTTTTGTTACTACATTTCTAATGATTTTAAATATATACTAGTATATTATAATGATTTTAAATATTCATTATTTAGCCTACATTACACAATAAACACTATAACATTTCAATATGTATCTGACCTTATCTTTGACATTTAGAGCAACTTTTTCCTAGTCTTTACCAAACAACAGTATTTTAAGCAGACTGGAAAATGCCGTTACGCATTTCTCACTGAAAATGTCATACTACAACAATCAAAAAGCAAACTCTTCAACAAATAACACAACAAAATATAATATCTTGTTCCCAAACCAAAAATTTGAATTTTATGATAACACAGCATGAGATTATGTTCCTTAATCAATAAAAAAAATAGTGCACACACTTGAATGTCGAATTTTGGTAAAGGAAATTAACCTTACAAACCAAAACTCTTGCATAAAAGGGAGTATTAGCAAATCTAATGTAACAAAGGAACTTCTTATAATACAGGTAAGTGATCAAGTGAGCAGTAAAGCTAAGCATTTCCACATATTTCTTTCCTGTTCTAATTGTCACTGCATTGACTATTAAGATTGTCATATAATTATGCTGCAAAATTTATCATAACAAATATTTTTAATAAACAATTCAGCTATTTTTGGTTCGGAAACATTGGGTGTGGTTTATTGTGTATTTTATGAGAGATTCCGGTGGTAGGGCCGCACAACAGTCCTATTCCCAGTCCCATTATTAAAGACATAAATGACTTCTGTAAATGTTCATATTTTAATAATTTTACCATAATACAACAGTTAATATTTTTTTTTATAAGAGTAGGTAGCAAACAAGCTGGCGGTTCACCTAATGCAAAGTGTAACCACTTTGCAACACCCGAGGGGTTGCAATCTTTCAATAAAGTGGGCCCTGGCTACCTCACACACCAGTTTGCGCGTTAACCGCTAAAAAGTCCCCATTTGTCGTGACTCCTCATTTCGAGAACACTCCCCTACCTGCCACAGCTAGTATCGGAATGCTCGGCGTCGAAATCTCGAGCAACGTCCAGTTCCGCGGTCAATTGGAAGGTAAGGCCAAATTGGCTTCAAAGAAGCTTGGCGTGCTCAGCAAGGCGAGACGGTACTTCACGGCTGCCCAACGCCTAAACCTGTATAAGGCGCAAATTCGGCCCCACATGGAGTACTGTTCTCACCTCTGGGCGGGAGCCCCCTATTACCAGCTTCTTCCATTTGACCGCATTCAACGTAGGGCGGCTAGGGTTATCGACGATCAAAGTCTTTCCGATCGGCTTGATCCTCTGGCTCTGCGTAGAGATGTTGGATCACTCTGCATCTTCTACCGCATTTATCACGGGGAGTGTTCTGAGGAATTGTTTGGATTGATCCCGGCGGCTGAATTCCACCATCGGACATCGCGCCAGAACCAAAAATTTCATCCACACCACCTCGATGTCCAACGTTCCACAACAGCGCGATTTTTAAGGCATTTCTTGCCTCGCAC